TAACTTCTTCTTATGGATGCTGACCAAAATGTTTCCCAAGATACTCCGGGATTTCTCCCCTATCACCTTCAGCCATGCAGTTCCTTGCCAAACCTCTATTACTGAACCTCTTCCTTTCTTGGACCCTCATTCAAAAGGCCTGACTCCGTTTCTCTTTTCATCTCCTCCCTCCCAGCAGTTGCCAAGGGTTAGCTGGCCTGCTGTGTTACTTTCCCCTCTAATAAAACTGTGCTCAAGCTTCCTTATGAGTCTGTTTCTAAACCTTTTACTAAAGAGTCTAAGAACCCCACAAAGGGAACCCCGAATTCTCTAACAACAGTATAAGTTACAGTGTCTACTTTATCATTTATGGTTTTATTTACTTAGCTCTCCTCTCTTGCTTATTGCTGCATCTAGCTAGCCTTGGGTCCTGGAACCCTGACAAGGGAATGGAAAACAACAGACGCACAAACAGTAAAGCCAGGATCCCATGCCATTCACTGCTGCTCCCGCTGCCACAGGGAAGCCTAGCATGTTTATGGCTAGAAGATCTGTTTCCTTGGAGCCAGCCACCACCTCATATAATCTGTCTGCCTCTGCTTCCACAGAGATTCCTGCCCAGTCTCGTGTTCCTAGCGACTTTAGCAGTATCAGATATGTGTTCCCTTACATGAAGTGAGCCTTGAGTGAAATTAAAACCTGTTTGATGCTTCAGGGTATCTTACAGGCGGATTGAGGGTTAGTAGCGGCTGATGTCGATGGCTGCTCTACTTCAGCACCATGCGTGGTAGTTGAGCATTCAATTTCTTCATGTTCAGTGACTCTCCACCACATTGTTTTTTGAGACAGGGTTCCTCACTGAAACTGAAGGTCACCTATTAGCTAGCCTGGCTGGTCAGTGAGCCCTGGTATCCTTCTGTCCCTGTCTCCCATGCTGGGATTGTAGGTGTGTGCCTCCATGCCCACGTAGGTGCCAGGAATCTGAACTTGCTGCCCTCGCATGGCAAGCGCTTTGGTCCACTGGGTCATTCTCAGTCCAGTGTAATGTGAAGTTTCTATGTGGTGTTCTCAGGGCCCACAGATGATTTTCTGGAAGCCATTATGGTTCACAGAGTTGATAATGTCTCCTCCTAAATCACCACTGTCCCTGGGCTCAAGGCTGTCTGTGGAGACCCTGACTTCCCACCCACAGTGCTTGCTTGTTAGGTTTTTCAAAAAGCTGTGTGGGATTTTTGCCCTGACTCGAGAAGCCTTGGCTTTTCTACTGTACCATGGTGGAGTTTTCAACCTCAGTTGAAGAACCACTGTGGATAGCACTGTATCTGGGTATGGGAGGAAAAGTTTTTCAGTCTTGGCTTAGCTACACTTAACTATGCCAGGGTGGGGGACAGGTGACAGCGTCCTCAGAGCCCCTGGATGACTTCTCGTGGGGTGAGAGTCTGACCCACACACAGAAAATTGTTCTAGATTGAGACATGAACTTTAAAAAAGACCCCACAATGCACAAAGACCTGCTGTTAGAATAATAACATATGATGATCATTAGTTTCTCAGATGTTAGGCTCCAACTAGGTCCAGCATTGGTACTGAAGCCTCACAGTGCTGTGAAGTGGGAGTGCATGTGTCACCTTCACTTAGAGCTCCTGGTGTCCCTAGCTAAGAGGGCCGGAGTGTAACTCCTTCTGTTGCACTAACTAGTGAATGGTAAGCACTGCCAGAGTGTAACTCCTTCTGTTGCACTAACTAGTGAATGGTAAGCACTGCCAGAGTGTAACTCCTTCTATTCCATTAACTAGTGAATGGTAAGCATTGCCCTTTAATAATGAGGCTGTGTTGTTGTCAAGTCATCCTGGAGACTATAGCAGAGAGCACTGGAAGGATGTTGTTCTCTGTTTCTAAAGGAATATGAAACGAGGGCAAAGGGCAATTAAGAATTCCACATGGAGGGATGCTCTCTCAGTCTGGACACATGAGGGAGGGCCTAGGCCCTGCCCCAGATGAGATGACAGACTTTGGAGATCCCTTGTGAAGGGCCTCACCCTCTCTGGAGAGTCGAGTGGGGATTGGGTGGGGGCTTGATGAGATTGGTAGGGGGCGGGGAGGAGGGGAGGGAGAGGGAGCTGGGACTGACATGTGAAGCAAGCTTGTTTATAATTTAAATAAAAAAATATTGGTTTCTGCCTTAGGGGATTTTTCAGGTGTGGTTGGGTAGTCTGCTCTCTACTGCCATCTGCTGTCCACATGTACCAAGCTCAGGCCAGAGTTCTATCTTTCTCCATGTAGTGCGTGTGTATAGTGCATGGACTCCAACATCTCACACCACCACATGTCGATAACACCCACAGTGTGCACCTCACATCAGAAGGACGTTTCTGTGGCTCTGAGTAATGAGAGCACTTTTCCTGCTCTTCATTTCGCTACCAGCGGGTTTCTAACCTTATTCTAAATAGTAGCTTGTTTCCTGACTCCCAGGCAGAAGATAAAGAAGCAAGGACAGCTTTATTAGTCCTGGGTGCAATGGCTGCCTTAGCCAGCCAGCCAGCTAGGACGTGACTCCAGTCCTGTTCTCTGCGCTTATGTCAGGGCAGTGAGACGCCAAGCCTGGGGAGACAGCAGAATGAAGTCTTTCGACCGTGTCAGGGTCTCTCAGAATGGCCTGAGGGAGGCTGCAAGGCTCTGCACGCCACTGGGCACAGGGGTTTAGAAGAGACAAGTGGGTGTGACCAAGAACTAGAATCTGGCTCTCTCACTGATGTGTTCTTGGGAAGTCATTTCTGTTTAAAATGGTTATCTCAGAAAAGTGACCCAGTGTCACTAAGGGCCCTTAGAGTAGGCTAGTGTGATATGACCAAAGATAGGACAGGAGTGTGTGTGTGTGGAGAGCCCGAGTTGGTCTCTGAGAGGAAATGCCCACTAAGCGTGTTGTAAGTGACAAAAGTGTACTGTCACCTTTCCTCTCTTGCCCCCCTTCCATCTCTCCTCTTCCCCCTCCTTTTTCCTGTTTCCTCTCCACTTTTCCCTCCATGTCCACCTACCCACCGTCTCGTCAGTGCAGCCTCTTGCTTTTGCTAAGCGTTGTTTCCCTACTAAACTGGTTTCTTCACTGAAGGCTCCCCACCCCAGGAAATCTATAAAAACACAGATTGTGAGACGCAGACTGAAAGCAGGCAGGAGCCTCTGTTTCCTGTGTCTTAAAGTAAATTCTGAAGTCCTCTCCCAGCCACATCCCTGGAACCCCTCCTAGGAATTCCCTGAATGCAGTCTGAAAATACTGGGTGCCACGTAAGTTGGCAATCTCATCAGTCTTGGCAGAGTTGAAAATTCATCTTGGTTTCTGAGGCCACGCCCCCACTGCATGTGTGTGTGTGTGTGTGTGTGTGTGTATGTGTGTGTGTGTATACATGTGTGTGTGCTAGTGTTGATGTTGGGTGTTTTCTCAATTACTCTCTGCCTTATTTTTGATACAGGGGTTCTCACTAAACCCAGTGCTCACTGATTTTGATAAGCTGACCAGCAAGCCCCAGGACCCTTACAGCTCCTCAGAGTTGAGATTAAAGACGTGTGACATTGTGTGCAACTTTTTACGAGGGCGCTAGGAATCAAACTCAGGTTCTTATGCTTGCACAGCAGCTACATTACCAACTGATGATTTCTCAGCCCCTCTTGAGCTGCTTTTAAAAAAGACAAAGGTCTTTTCTGAACTCCTTCTCTCTCCAACCATGTTTGCCAACTGTCAGGCGAGGAGACTTATCTCACACACAAATAGCTTTGTGCCAAGGGAAGGAAGGAGGCAGGGAGCGAGACCAGAAAACAGACAAACTATCTCCTGCACCTTTTGAAGACAACAGAACAGGACTACAGTGAAGGGTTAAGAAATCATAAATCATAAATCTGTTTTGCTTGTGTCCCATGTGATGTGGCATTACTTGTGTATTTTCAAAACTAGATTTTAAAAAATTTATTGACATCAAGAGTTAATTTTATTATCTACAAAAGATGTACCTGGCATAGTTTTTATTTATCAGTTAAGTCACAAGATTGCCCAGGACCACAAGCACACATATGGCTGAGAATAAAGAGCTTCTGGAGGGATGGTTGTCATTGAGGGGCTGGTTTCAGACAGCTTAGGGAAGCACAGAGGTCCTGTGCACCCCCTCTTCATACAGCACCCCACCTACAGGGACGGTTCATGTGAGGGATCTGTCTTGGTTATGTGTAGTTCATGGTTTTTGAAAAATGCATAGTGCTGTATATAAAGCAATTTAATGATCCATTTATTCCTCATCCTAAAACTTCCATTTCAAAATACTGTTAGTAGAATTTTGTGGTAAGTTTTCGTGAAAATTTTGACATTAAAATTATACTTTTGGCCAATACATATTTTACAATATAAAAACTTAATTATTTTACATTTTTCCTTTTACTTTCCAAGAGGTTCAAATTTGGATGATAAATTGCAAAGTCTTCATAATTTATAGTCTATGCCCCTGCTCCCCCAGAGACCAAATATTTCCCCCTGGGCATATGACTAATCAGAAATAAAGCCAGAGTGGGCTCTGTGTCTGTGGCTGCTGAGGCTCTCTCTGTACAGCACATATGGCAAGGCAGCTCAGGCTCCGGAGTATACTGCAGCCCTGTTGCAGAGAGTTGGTGCTTGTGAAATTGCTTGTGAATTTCTGGTGTGAGACGACCCCCTGCATAAGTCAATCGATGACAAACTCCGTAAGGAAGGAAGCTAGAGATGATGGAGGGTTAGGTTTTCATAGTCTTATTTCTTTATTTAAAATGTAGTACTTAAAATATGTCTTCTGTAAAAGCACATAGGTTTCCTGAGTCCCACAAAGTGGCCACTCTATTAAGCAGGGTTCAGGTATGGAGGGACGAATGTCCATTGTGACAGCGGAACGGACTGATTCTCCACCTCCGGGACTTAGATGCTCGACTGGTGAAAGCGCCGTCACTTCGGGTGTTGGTTTTGTGCGGACCGTGTAAAGGAAGCTCGCTGCCTTTTCTCTCACCAGGCCTCTCCATCCGGAGCGTGTGCTGGAAAGCCGAACGCCTTCTAGCTGGAACCCAGGACAGTGAGATATTTGAAGTGATCGTGCGAGAGCGGGATAAGCCGGTGCTCATCCTTCAGGGCCATTGCGAGGGCGAGCTCTGGGCTCTGGCTTTGCACCCCAAGAAGCCTCTGGCTGTGACAGGCAGTGACGACCGCTCTGTCAGGTGAGGCTCCAGCAGGCACCATACCTCATGACCTCCTTGGGATAACAGATTTCTTTTGCCCTAATACGTTTCTGGTTTAAGGACAAAGCACAGCGTAGATACACTTTCTGAAAGAAAGTGAGGACGTTTTAGGGCACTGCTAGTTGGTCTCTTGGTATGTTGTTGTAGTATCTTTTTTCATTATAAATCATGAAAATCTTTTTAGAAGTGAAAATGTGTGACACCACTTAGGCTGTCTTTCAGTTGTCTTTTTAGTTCAAGAGAAGAGCCAAACACAGGCTCTTTGGTGAGACAAGATTTCCCATTCATGTGCTTGCCCCTCTTCAGGGAGACTGCTCAGCAATCTTAGGATTTAGTTAGAAGCTCACTCCTCAGGAGTCCTTCAGCTCTGATTTTAAAGTGATCTTCAGGACATGAGCAAATGTTATTATTGTTATTATTGTAAATTTTGAAATGGAAATTTAGATGTCATCAGACAAAAAAAGAATGCTAATTTCTGAGACAATGTGTAATTTTGTCAGGGCTTTGGTTTGTTTGTTTGTTTGGTTGGTTGGTTTTTCTCAGACAGGGTTTCTCTGTGGAGCCCTAGCTGTCCTGAAACTGTTTGTGTAGACCAGGCTGGCCTCAAACTCAGAAACCACCTGCCTCTGCCTTCTGAGTGCTGGGATTAAAGGTGTGGCACCATGCCTGGCTCCTGATGTTCTTTATGAGCACAAAATTGGATAAAATGATCCCAATGTGCATGCCTCCAGCATTCTGGCGACTGTCATACACACTTCAGGCTGCACTGTGTCTGAGAAGCTTGAAGTGCTCAGCAAAGAGACGCCATAGGGAGAGTTCATCCATCGACTGACTATTGATTCTGTGCTTTAGAAGCTAAATAAGCTATGCTAACGGGCACTTTGTTCCCACCCACTGTGTGGGTTTTTAGGGATCTCAAAGCTTAGTCTGCTCAATTTCCTTTTTTAGCTTCTACCAAATATGTAAACCTCATTGATTTCAAACTTCGTGGAAACAGTTATAGTGTCTTCATAAGCAACATTAACATTTATTTGCCATATGTACCTCTCAGCTTTGTTTTTATGTTTTTTTCTTTACCCTGCACAGAGCAGTCAAAGTGCCCAAAACATGTCCAAAGGTTAGCCAAATACTTGTGACCCCAAAAGTTGACCACATACCTGTGGTCCCAAAACTTAACCAAATGCTTGTGACCCCAAAACTTAACCAAATACCTGTGACCTGGTTTCTATCCACCCAAAGGAAAGAGCTCAATAAAGTCCTTGAGTTTTATATTTTTAGAGTTGAGTCTCACAGCTGTAAACATGGCTGAGGAGCTCTGGCTGGCAGAACCTATTGTGTTCCCTCCTCAAAAATTCACTTGGCTAGACATTTGAGTGTATTTTTGCAGAACACGGAAGTAAGAAGGTCAGAAGCTGTGCTTTCTTGGGATTAGTGGCCCTAGGGGATAGCACAGCTGAGGGGTGACAACTTCATTCTGCTAAGGGAAACTCACATTGCTTTAAAAAAAGGTATAGGGCTAAAAGCAGCATACCGGGCACGAGAAACGGAAGAGGTATTGAGAAGCTACTCTGAGCTTTCGGCTGAAGACTTTGGACATCCTGAGGGAAGTCAGGCGTTCACTGTGCAGCTCCTCATCCCTCCGATGGCTGAGTGCACTTAAGAAAGTATGGGCTGGAGAGATGGCTCAGAGGTTAACAGCACTGACTGCTCTTCGAGAGGGCCTAGGTTCAGTTCCCAGCACCCACATGCAGCTAACAACTGTCTGTAATTCCAAGATCTGATACTTCTACACAGGCAAAACACCAATGCACATAAAATATAGATAAATAAATTACAAAAAAGGAAAGAAAACGGCCACGTGGGACTTACATTTATTTCAAAACTGCAAGTTCTTGGTCCTCACCTCAGACATTTGTTGTGTATGAAGAGAAGACCATCTTAAGAAAGGCTTCACAGGGCTGGCTCAATAACTCAGCGGATAGAGACATCTGCTGCTCAGTCCTTGGAACTCACATGGTGGAAGACAAGAACCAGCTCCCACACATGCACTCAAGCATGTGCCATCATCATCATGGGAAAATTCCTTACAGCGATCAAGTGCCACCAACGCAACACAGACGCTCTTATTGCATATGAGAAGTATTTTCTCTAGATTCACTTAGTTTGGGGCACTGTGGATTAAGTATTCTGGAGCTAGGAACCCTATAGTCAGTTTTTCCCAAAGCTCTGTGAGTTGTGCTTGCCTCCTGGTCTATATTTCTCCACCAGAAGCTGTGCTGTTTGGTTACCAGCACCATGAAACATTGCCCCTGCCAATAATGTGCCCATCAGCTAAGGCCTGGAACTATTGAGTGATAATGATGAGTAAATTCTGGAGCTACCCTACAGAATTTATTCTCTTTATCTTACATCATTTATTCTCTTATCTCAGATACCCCCCCCCACACACACAGGGAAGCCAGCAAATGTGATGTGTGTTTCCAGCTACATATGCTTAAATACCAACTACTTGAAAAGTGCTCATGAATGCTTATTGTGAAACTAAGAGTAATAGCATGTCCTGGCTAGTTTTATTGTCAACTTACATAAGCTAAAATCATCTGAAAAAGAAAGGAACCTCAATTGAGAAGATGTCTCCATAAGATCCATCTGTAAGGCATTTTCTGAATTAGTGACTGATGGAGGGGGTCCAGCCCATGGTGGGGGATGCGATCTCTGGCCTGGTGGTCCTGGGTCCCGTAAGAAAGCAGGCTGAGCAAAGCTTGTGAGCAGAGTCTCTCCATGTCTTCTGCATCAGCTCCTGCCTCCAAGATCTTGCCCTGTTTGAGTTCTTGTCCTGACTGCCTTTAATAATGAACAGTTCTGTGGAAATGTAAGCCAAATTAGCCCTTTCTTCTCCAGTTTTGTTTGGTCATGGTGTAGCATCCCAGCAGTGCCAACCCTAAGACACAGCGCTAGCAATTCCTACCCTTGGAGCATGTTAACAGCCATTGGCATAAATAAAGGTCCACTTCTAATTCCAAAGGGAAGACACTTGGCAAAATCGTGTTTATATTTTCCAGCTTGTGAGACTAAAAATCTTCGCAAACAGAATTTCACCTCCTCTTTCTTGCTGGTTTTTTTTAAATGATGCAAGTGACCCAAAGGCAGACAAAATACTTAGGCAGATTTTCTGGCAAGCCACGGTAAAGTATTTGGGTGGGAAGTTGCTATGCTCTTTCTTGTTGTCAGTGTGAAGAGCAGGTTCCTACCCTGGGCTGGAAGATGGCTGAGAGATTGGTTTGGTCTGTATTTTATCCTGTTCTTGGTCCTTAGGCTGTGGAGTCTGGCGGACCATGCCTTGATTGCCCGCTGCAACATGGAGGAAGCAGTCCGTAGTGTCTCCTTCAGTCCTGATGGATCTCAGCTGGCCCTGGGCATGAAGGATGGCTCTTTCATTGTTCTCCGAGTCAGGTACATTCAATACTGAAAATGGTGCTCTGAGATGTTCCTTTGTTAAAAACTAGAGTGTCCTGGTCATAAAATATGTCACACTGTTAGGAAACCCTTTACCTGTGATTCTCAAATCCTAAATCTTGAAAATCCAGATGTCTTTGTTAAACTATTTAGATGTAGAACCTAACCCAGTGAACTGATAAGAGTTTGCTTATAGTCTTCAGTCTCTTCATAGAAATAACATGTTGTATGATTTGCTGTTTATCATGGAGGCTGCTGCCCTAGCCAGTACATTTAGGAATTCCTCAACATGTGCCTGTGGACCTTTGTAAGATCCAAGTGAGAACCGGAGGGTATCTGATCCCAGGGGCTTGAGGCAGGCAGCTTTGACTGCTGTAGTTAAGCCAGGAAAAGAAGAAGAAATAGTAAAACAGCACCCAACAACACTAAATTCTTACAAGTAAACTTGAATCAAAGATTTCATTCATAGAATTGGTACAGAATTGAAGTATTCCCTGCCTGCTTGATGACATCCTGTACTGTTTACATTGGACAAGAACTGTCACTCACCTGTGGAATTCTTCTGAATTTGCTGTGATTTTGTAATCACAACGGAAGTATAGATGTCGATGAATGCTGCATGTTTTATGTGGAGAAAATTCTGTACAATATCGAATGCTCTTAGCACAATTTGTAACTCTGAATTCTCGTTATCACCCACACATAACTCATTACCAAATTAGTGGGCAATGTTTCCATTCACTGCGGTTGATTAACAATAAGGTGGTTAGTTACCAAATTCCCTTTTTGATAGAATTCTCAAGTATAAACAAAAGAAAAAATACAGTTATTTTATGTTGTTATAGTACAGCATAGTGCTGTGGTAAATGATAGCAGGTGTAGGGTGGTTATGTGCTCCAGATGCTGCTGCTATTGGATGCATTCAGTTTGTTTTGGAGTTGATGAAACCATCTTCACTCACTCAGAGGACCTGAGTCATAACCCTGTCTCCTAGATAGAAGGGAAAAGCAACCCCAGTGAGCTTTCAGATGCAAACAGAAATTAATCTTAACAGAACTTGGCAATTCCGTGCTAAAGTGGACAATCACACATCCAGGAATGTGTGGCGGCACAAATTGCACTAGATGGGCTTTAAAAGCAGACGAGACAAAGTCAGGAGACAGAGTCAGTCAGGAGACAGAGTCAGTCAGGAGACAAAGTCAGTCAGGAGACAGAGTCAGTCAGGAGACATAGTCAGTCAGGAGACAGAGTCAGTCAGGAGACATAGCCAGTCAGGAGACAGAGTCAGGAGACAGAGTCAGTCAGGAGACAGAGTCAGGAGACAGAGTCAGTCAGGAGACAGAGTCAGTCAGGAGACAAAGTCAGTCAGGAGACAGAGTCAGTCAGGAGACAGAGTCAGTCAGGAGACAGTCAGTCAGGAGATAGAGTCAGTCAGGAGACAGAGTCAGTCAGGAGACAGAGTCAGTCAGGAGACAGAGTCAGTCAGGAGACAGAGTCAGTCAGGAGACAGAGTCAGTCAGGAGACAGAGTCAGTCAGGAGACAGAGTCAGTCAGGAGACAGAGTCAGTCAGGAGACAAAGTCAGTCAGGAGACAGAGTCAGTCAGGAGACATAGTCAGTCAGGAGACAGAGTCAGTCAGGAGACATAGCCAGTCAGGAGACAGAGTCAGGAGACAGAGTCAGTCAGGAGACAGAGTCAGGAGACAGAGTCAGTCAGGAGACAGAGTCAGTCAGGAGACAAAGTCAGTCAGGAGACAGAGTCAGTCAGGAGACAGAGTCAGTCAGGAGACAGTCAGTCAGGAGATAGAGTCAGTCAGGAGACAGAGTCAGTCAGGAGACAGAGTCAGTCAGGAGACAGAGTCAGTCAGGAGACAGAGTCAGTCAGGAGACAGAGTCAGTCAGGAGACAGAGTCAGTCAGGAGACAGAGTCAGTCAGGAGACATAGCCAGTCAGGAGACAGAGTCAGGAGACAGAGTCAGTCAGGAGACAGAGTCAGGAGACAGAGTCAGTCAGGAGACAGAGTCAGTCAGGAGACAAAGTCAGTCAGGAGACAGAGTCAGTCAGGAGACAGAGTCAGTCAGGAGACAGTCAGTCAGGAGATAGAGTCAGTCAGGAGACAGAGTCAGTCAGGAGACATAGTCAGTCAGGAGACAGAGTCAGTCAGGAGACATAGCCAGTCAGGAGACAGAGTCAGGAGACAGAGTCAGTCAGGAGACAGAGTCAGGAGACAGAGTCAGTCAGGAGATAGAGTCAGTCAGGAGACAGAGTCAGTCAGGAGACAGAGTCAGTCAGGAGACAGAGTCAGTCAGGAGACAGAGTCAGTCAGGAGACAGAGTCAGTCAGGAGACAGAGTCAGTCAGGAGACAGAGTCAGTCAGGAGACAGAGTCAGTCAGGAGACAGAGTCAGTCAGGAGACAAAGTCAGTCAGGAGACAGAGTCAGTCAGGAGACATAGTCAGTCAGGAGACAGAGTCAGTCAGGAGACATAGCCAGTCAGGAGACAGAGTCAGGAGACAGAGTCAGTCAGGAGACAGAGTCAGGAGACAGAGTCAGTCAGGAGACAGAGTCAGTCAGGAGACAAAGTCAGTCAGGAGACAGAGTCAGTCAGGAGACAGAGTCAGTCAGGAGACAGTCAGTCAGGAGATAGAGTCAGTCAGGAGACAGAGTCAGTCAGGAGACAGAGTCAGTCAGGAGACAGAGTCAGTCAGGAGACAGAGTCAGTCAGGAGACAGAGTCAGTCAGGAGACAGAGTCAGTCAGGAGACAGAGTCAGTCAGGAGACAGTCAGTCAGGAGATAGAGTCAGTCAGGAGACAGAGTCAGTCAGGAGACAGAGTCAGGAGACAGAGTCAGTCAGGAGACAGAGTCAGTCAGGAGACAGAGTCAGTCAGGAGACAGAGTCAGGAGACAAAGTCGGGAGACAAAGTCAGGAGGTAGTCTGGATTTGGGAGAAGAGGGTGGATATGATCAAAATGCATTGTACAAAATTCTCAAAGAATTAAATTTTAAAAAATTTGACCAAAAAAGGTACAAAATGTTTAGTGATTCAGCATGTTCATTATGAGCTTTCTTGCTGAGAATGAAGAGATTGTATAACATTTTGACATTTAAAAGGTAGGAATTTTCTTCTTTTAGACTCCTTCCTTTTAAACAGCAGTAAGCATAATAGTTGGCTTTTCTTTTTTCTTCTTTTGAGACAGGATCTCACTCTTTAGCCCTGTCTGGCCTGAAACGTGGTCTGTAGATGAAATGACCTTCAGCTCTCAGAGATCCACCTGCCTCTGTCTTCCAAGGCTGGGATTAAAGGCGTACACCACCACATCTGCTCTCCTTTATGATTAAAACATAAACAGGTGGCTTATTTTACACTAATTTTAATATGTTTTACCTTTCTCTGTTGCATATTTTAAACTTACTTTTAACTCTAATTTTTAAATAAATTTCCAATAAAATATAGTTGAACATGAAAGCAAATATTCTTTGTGTTAAAGGTTTTATTTTTACCCTGAGGACACAAAGTATTATTTTAAATGTTTGCTTTAATTTTTATAAGCAGGATATAAATTATAAATATATCATCTTTTTTTAATGAAAATAAATCTTTTAGTCCCTATGGGATCATTCTCTTTTGTGACACATGCCTTTTAAAACAAGACTTGGGTTTTTATATTTCTCGATTTTCTGATTATCACTTTGTGTTTTATCCCTATAGAGATATGACAGAAGTGGTCCATATCAAAGATAGGAAAGAAGTCATTCATGAAATGAAATTTTCCCCAGATGGCTCTTACCTCGCAGTAGGATCCAATGATGGCCCTGTGGATGTCTATGCTGTTGCCCAGCGGTATAAGAAGATAGGAGAATGCAACAAGTCCCTTAGTTTCATCACACACATCGACTGGTCTCTGGATAGTAAATACTTGCAAACCAATGATGGTGCTGGAGAGAGACTGTTCTACAAAATGCCATGTGAGTCCTAGGTAGATGATTATGCTTACGTACATGCTTGTGGGAAGCAAACTTGGAACCTCATGGGGAAATAAATGTAGGAGAATGTCCTATGACCTCAGAGTAAGGAATGTTTTCTGAGACAAGATCCCTAAGTCATGGTCCCTCAGAGAAAAGGTTAACAAGTTGGGTCACATTAAAAACGTTCAGAAAATATGTGTAAGCTTTAGATATGAAGCTTACATGGGCATAAACACTGGTGTTGTTCTAATGGGCACAGTCAGTATACAGGGAGCAGCACTCAGACTCCATTTTAATTATTTAGACTCGCCAAAGCCTGTCAGTATTCCATGGTGGAGAGGAGAACAGATGATGCACAGGGCTGTTAAGAAGACGCACAGAAATGTTTGCTGTGGTAGTGATTGTAGGAAACAAAGCTATGGCAGAATTCCTAAGTGGCCCTCGGTGGGAAGAGAATCTGAAGGGGGCAGTTACAGAAGGCAATTCTGTAAAATTATGTCAATATGGGTAGATCTTAAAGCATACTCCTGAGCAAATAAATGCAAAATGATACAGTATGTTCATTTACATAGAAATGTTAAGATATTGAAATAGGTCCATATATTATAGTCGCTACATTCATAGAATATGGTTCTTAGATGTATTGGAACGCTTAGCAGTTCCAATTCAGGGTACTGGTTACCTCTAAGAAAAGACAAAGAAGTGAGATTGGGGGTGAGTGCCCAGTGGGTTTTAAATGACTGTATGTTCTTAAAGTTCTGTTATAAAGAAACTGGCGGGTGAGTCAGCAGGTACAAGTTCTTGCCAGGTAAGCCTGGTGACCCACAGAGAGTGGAAGGAAAGAATTGAGTCCATCAAGTTGTCCTCTGATCTACACACACACACAGAGCCCACAATAATGGTAACAGATGATTTTGTAGTTCTATGCTAAAGACCAGTAATACTCATTGAAACTTGGTGCTACAGACACTTGCTCCCTGTAACTGAGATACCCATCACTTTTAGACACAGGCAACCATGGCTTCCAAGCATGTGGCATACACGCTGCTCAGCCCCATGTCCAGGCCTTGTGTTTCATGAGCTTCTCTTGCTTCCGTCCCGTCCCTGCTTCACCCCTGTTGGTTGGCACGTTTCTCAGAAGGCCAGTAACTGAGCAGCCACTCTGAAAACGGGCGTGCTATTTCTATAGTGTCCTGCACACGCATCTCTGCACAGAAATTGACATGAAGGGATGTGAGTGTGCATGCGCCTGCCCTGCGGGTTCTGCCTGCTAGGCAGTAGCAGTAATAGGAATACTAAGGATCTTCACCTTTTACCTCAGTCCTACTGCAGTCGAGGTCAGGTCCTGAGGTGGCACAAGAATTATCTGACTACCAGATGAGTTTCACGCAAGTGGCCAGCCTGAACAGCTCACGCCATCTTTATTTTTGTTTCACAAACAAGCATGTTCTCCCCACCTTCGAATACATTTTTTCCCCAACTTTTACATCAAAACAACTTTTAAAACAAAAACAATGCTCAGCATTTTGTTAGCTTGGTTACATATTGTGCGAGGCACACCCTGTCGTTACAAAGCTAAAAGGTGATAAAAACAGGCATACATTCACAAACGCCGATATCATTCAAAACTTAACAAAACATATTTACAGAAATTGGGGTGATTTGCCATAAACTGCTAGCATATAGTTAACTGTATTTCTTTAAATGCTCATTAACTTTCATTGCCTCTCATTTTATCAGCACTGAATCAGAAGAGTTCCCAGGGTCTGGAGTGAAAGCTGGTTATTTCCAGATAAGACACCTGAGAAGCATCAGTTCCCAAAGAATTTTATGAGAAAGTTTCTGAGAAAAAAAAGGGGGGTCGCTCTGGGAATGATCACATCTGACCCATTCATGAATGACAAAGTGACACTAAATCTACCAAGAAATCATCAACATTATGAGAGAGAGGGAAGTGTCCATGCTGTGAGGTCACAGCAGTATTCTGTGCTGTCACAAAATCCACTGGTCCCTTGCTGAGTGAAAGACTGTCTCCATGGGTCTTGCCTCACGGAGACCTGTTGGACAAGCACTCATATGCTGATCTGAAACTAGGCCGCATGACTCCCAGCAACCTTTGAAAGCCCAAAGTGTTATCTCATGTTTATTTTAATGTTTGCAAACTGACTATAAATCTTAAGTATTTTATATTCCCCTTCAAAAATTAAAACTTTTCATTCCTAAAGGGTTTCTCTCTCCCTATCCTATACTTTAGGTATGTGACCATTAGGCAAACAATTTTCTGCCAAGATCCAAAGGAATAGATTGTCTGTTGGACCCTTAGAAAAGACAGCCACAGAGAACTAGAGACTATCTCTTAGGTTAGTTTGGAGCCTTTAGACAAGGGCTGAGCCCTCGAAGGTTTGGGGATCACAGTCCTCGGTTGCTGCAATCCCATGCCCTGTGTCTAGTTATCGTAATCATATTATCTGGTGAAATGTAGCTTTTAAAACCCCATTGAGCACATATCTTTTATTTGTGTTCATCTTGCAACTGTGTTACATAATAGCAATTTAGTGACATCTTGTTTGTAAGACTAAAATGTCACATATAACTATGTCCAAATTATAATCTTTAATATTTTTTAAAATGAGCAAGTTAAGAAAAACATAAATCTTAACCTCCAACAAATTATATATTGTCTTGAAATTCTTTTTTTTTAATTTTTTTCAAGACAGGGTTTCTCTGTGTAACAGTTCTGGCTGTCCTGGAACTCACTTTGTAGACTAGGCTGGCCTCAAACTCACTGAGACCCACCTGCCTCTGCCTTCTGAGTGCTGGTATTAAAGGCATGAGCCACCACCACCTAGCGCTGTCTTGAAATTCTTACTGAAAAATTATTTACTTGGGAGGCTGAGGCAGAAGTGAAAGTTTGGGATCTGTTTTGGCAGAGTCTACTGAGGCTATGTCAGATTGTTAAAGGGGGTAAGGTGTAGGTTACTGATAGAGCACTTGCCTATGTGAGAGTTATTACTTCATACTTAGCTTTTCCATGTATGGAAACATCTGAAACACATTTGTCATTTGTAATAAAACAGCACCCTGCTCAGAGATGATGGGATAGCTCACTTTGTCCTTCTGTTATGAGCACTCAGCTTATTTCCAGTGTATGTACTAGTCCAGGTGGTACAGCTCCAAATGCCACTGCCACGGTGAAATTGCTTTGTCTTCTGAGTCACTTTGGGGATGCAGTCCCTCGAGCTGGAGCAGATCACAGACAATGCTCCAACTATATTCTCTCTTGAGTCTGTGGCCACTTAAATGCATTCTTTTAGATAGTATCTGTTCTTCAGTTCTTTATTTGAAAATTTATGTTTCTTTTAGTAGGGTAAGCATCAGAATACATGCTTAATTGTATTGATTTTTAATTTTAAAATGGTATCTGTTGACTATTTCCCATATTTGCTTTTGTGTCTTGCTGTTCCTTGGGTCACCTGTGAATATCATAAGTCTGCTGGTGGAAATGGAGACTGAGCCCTGTGTCTGCGAGCAGATCCACAGCAACTGCTGTGACCACTTCCCACAACCAGTTATACTCATTCAGATCTAGGATAGTTGACAGCCTTGTCTGGCGTGGCCAGATCTGATACCTCTGGCTTCTTTCGACACCTGCATTTACATGCAAATACTCACATACAGACATACATTGCACATAGAATTTAAATCTTAAAAAAATGAAAAAAATTCAAACATCATTTGTAGGCTGGTGAGGTGGTCCTGGCTGCTGAGACCCATGACCTGAATTCGGTCCCGGAACCTGACATGATGGAAGGAGAGAACCATATCCTGCAAGCTGTCCTCTGACCTCCGAGGGCATGTACATTACATGCACACAATAAATAAATTGATTAAAAGAGCAGGGTGATGCTGAAGCTATGAAAAATAAAGTTCAAGACAAACTTAGTCAAGGTTTTAAAAGCAAAATGTTGGTGACTCAGTGTTGACAACACATAACTTAAAGATGTCATACAAATATAAATCTACTGTCATAACAGTTATTTTGGTAATTAAGATCAAGGAAGTATTAATGGTTTGAAACATTACATTTAACACATTAGTTATTTACTAGTCTCATTACTTCTAAACTCTGAGCTGATGTTTTCTTTAAATCCTTTCCTCCCCCACCAAAACAGTAACTAACAGGGTGAAGAGAATATAACTCACAGTTCTTCCCATTTATATTTAATGATGGTTTTAGACACTGTACGGAAAGAAAAATGATTAAACTATATGAGAATATGCTTGACATGTAAATATAACATCGCATTAACTGTTTCAGCGGGGAAACCTTTAACAAGTAAGGAAGAAATCAAAGGCATTCCCTGGGCCTCCTGGACATGTGTGAACGGCCCTGAAGTGACTGGGATCTGGCCCAAATACACGGAGGTTACTGACATCAACTCAGTGGACGCCAATTACAACAGTTCAGTGTTGGTGTCTGGAGATGATTTCGGACTGGTCAAACTGTTCAAATTTCCTTGTCTGAAAAAAGGTAAGGGCTGAAGAGATGCCTCGCTGGGCAGATTTTCTCTGGGTTCTAGATCCTGTGTAGTAGACTTCTTACCTCCTCACGAGTCACGCCAGTTCCTCTTGTCCACATTTATTCTTCATCCATTTTACAATGAATGTGCTGTTGAGAGCTTCTACTTTTGCTGTCCTATATGATTTGGCAAACTTAAGTCAGAATTTGTTGAGTTAATATCATGTGGCTTCTAACTCTGTGTTTCACATATCCAAACAGTCATATGTTACTTATGTTTATGGGAACAAATATTCATGATTTATATTGGTTTTTTATACCTTTAAAATGCTGTATTTTAACTTTTTGCTTGTTGTTGCTTTGTTTGTTTATTTTTCAAGACAGGGTTTCTCTGTGTAGCTCTGGTTGTCCTTGAATTTACTCTGTAGACTAGGCTGGCCCTAAGCTTACAGAGATCCCACCTGCTGCTGCCTCCTAAATTTCTGGGATTAAAGGTATGCACCACCACCTGGCTATATTTTAACTCTCCGTGTGATCACATACTTGAACTTATACATGAAAAGCAATTCTTCTTAATCATGATTAAATAAAAGTGACAGTTCTACAACCATGGACCCCTTGTCACAGTTCTGCTTCTATGGACCCCTGTCATAGGACTTTTTGCAAGACTTTTTTAGAGAGAAATTGGACTGAAAACAACTTTCCTTATACTCAGGTTTTGCACTTCTATAGACCCATTTTAAACTTAGAAGACTGATTGGAGTCACCTTGCAATGATCCTGTGCTTGCTTTGAAAACGTAGAGAAAGCCCCTCCCCAGACTCTTCTCATTCCTCCACTGTGTCCTGAAGCTGGATATTAGGAGAGTAATCAACGGGGATGTGTTGCTGCCTGCAGACGTTCACTTGAATGACCTTTTAAATTAAACAGGGAAGGGGATGAAAAGTGGAATCAGAAAGTCGTTTTCAGTACTAGCAACTTTGAAACAGTGGCAATTACAGTACAGAATGGAACATAGTTTGTATAGTGAAATCATCATGATTTGCATGGGACAGAATGGTCATCAGCTCAAAGTGCTTGAAACAGAAAAAGATTGCAATGTGCCAAATTCAAATCCACTCCACCCTGCCTTGTGAATAACAGGGCATAATTTGTTTAAACTAATGTTCATTTGAGAGTAAGTTGGTTATGTTAGAAAGTATGTGGGAATTCAGAATTCAGGAAATTCACCCATGAGGTCAGAGGAAACTTCCTGGCCTCCAGTGTCAGAACCCAAGGATAACATGAACTCTGTGACAGTTGGTGTCCTCCATGTATCTCCAGACCTTATGAGTGGTCTTGGGTCTTAGAAATAGAGATGGGTGTGAGGATCCATTATCAGAACCAGGGTGGTGGTATGAATAGTGCTTTCAAAATTAGATGTCCACGTATGAAAAATAACCCTGTGGGTAGGCACAAGGAGGACAACTGAATGAATGAGGACAGGTAGACAACAGGGCGACATATGATGGGAGTAGTGACCTCCTCCTCAGCCATTTGCTGAAGCGTCAAGGTCCCCAGAGCAAACACGATTCTACTTTGCATGACGTGCAGGTTATAGACATTGCAATTTTGCCTGTAACCTTCAGACTTTTGGATCAAAACTACTGGGAAAAAAGTTAATAAAAGTATGTGGGAATCTTGGTAGAAATAAAAATTAGTAAAACTTGACTCTTTACAAACCAGGAAACTATTTTCAAATGGTTCTAAGTGTTGAACCTAAGAAAGACAAACATGAGGAGAAATTGATGACTATGAGCAAACAGCGAGGGAGACTGAGCAAGCTTTATAGTTTCCTATTGTGAGCAAACAGCGCTCACAATGAAACTAATGGGACACACTTGGAAGTACACGCACATTCTCTTGTGCAAAAATTAGATGTAAGTAACCTACAGTTAATGACAAGTACTGAATTGATATTCTTACACAGCCTGAGTAATTTGTTTCTCATTTGATAGTTCTCAAATCCTTGGCAATCACTAATAACAATTTTTTTCTGATGCCATGTCGATCACATTCTGTGTGTGACTGTCCCACATTGTGGTCTCAGGTTATGTGCAGTGACATAGTGCTGTAAATTGGGAAGTGACATGATCACTTTAAGTCTCTGAAAGATTACTTTGATACTGTGCATTCATCTGAAAGATGCTGTGACTAGAATAGGGGCCTAAAGAGACGGTTGATTGGTCAGGCGTTGGTGGCGCACGCCTTTAATCCCAGCACTCGGGAAGCAGAGGCACGCTGATCTCTGTGAGTTGGAAGTCAGCCTGGACTGTAGAGTGAGCTTCAGGACAGGTTCCAAAGCAATACAGAGAACCCCTGCTTTGAAATAAATAATAAAAAAGAGACTATTGATTTAGATAAAGCTGAAAGTTTTGCTGCAGAATTGGATGTGGGAATAGGGGGAGCAAAGGAAAAAGAGAACCATTGAGAATGTCTCCTGAGTTTCAGGCTTGAACGATGAGGGAGAAGGAGGCAGTGTTCTGAGAGATGGGAAATGAGAGAAGGAAGAGCTGCTTGTTGTCTAGAGGTAGGTGTGGGGTGGCTGGGGAGCCTTTCCATCTCTCATCCAAGTTTTGAGGTGCCTATTAGACATCCAAACAGACATGACTCTTGTCCCTCCAGAGAGTGCTCAGGGTTAGCAGTGAAAGGCTGGTATTCATGGGCACATGGAAAGATTTTTAAGCTAGGGAAGAGGTCAGTAGAGAAGAGGTGAGGGCTAATGCCCAGGCCCCATGGACAAATATCCAAAGGGAATCTCGTCTAGTCACTGCTTTTCTCGAGGAAAGCTTTGGGAGAGGATGCCTCTGCTTACTGGACACATATTTGTTAGGTGCTATGCTAGAGTATTAAAATGCTTCAGTATATCGGAACAAGCCCCTGCTGCAATCGAGCTTTTGTTCTAGTGAGTGGGCACAGAGGACAGGCATGTCCGATGGTAAGAATGCTGTCAGGAAAAGCAAAGGAGATGCTAGGGGAGAGTGCTGGGCAGAGCATCATAGTGGTATTGTTTCTATTAATGGGAGCAAAGGAGGGCTCCCTATTGGAGTTTCATGGCTAGACACCTGCAGGATAAGAGAACCAGGCGTTCAGATATCCCAGAAAGATCATTAAAAGAAACAGCAAATATAAGGCTTGGAGGCAGAGAACATTTTGGCATGCTTAAAGAGCTGCAAAGGGGCCAGTGTATCTGAAGCAGAGTAGGCAAGGGACAGAGGGTGGAAGGTGGGGTCAAAGAGGTACGAGAGGCCTTACTTATCAGTGATGATGGTTCCAGCCTACTGAGGGCGTATAAATCACTAAGCCTGCAGAGTAGCTCCACCTCCGTATTTAGAAGCTTATATGAGAAGTGATCTCACAGGCTTTTGTGGAGGCAGAGGATGGGTTCAGGTAGATAGAAGTGTGGGGAACTAGTAAGCACCCTACTGAGTGGTTCTAGTTCAAGTTTCCTTGTGAGTTACAGTCATCTGAGACTAGGATGAGACTCACAGGTAGGACTTTCAGCTGGAGACCCTCCACAGACTGCTTGAGTGTCCTTAGGATATGGCATGGCCCAAGAAGAACCAAGGAGGAGTCTGTGATGACCTCTGCCTCTTCTTCACTTTGCTGCTTGTATTTTGAATCTACTAATGTTTGTTTGGGGGGCTGTGGTTTGTTGTTGTTGTTGTTTTGCTTCATTTTTTTGAGACAGGGTTTCTATGTGTAACAGCTCTGGTCATCCTAGAACTCACTTTGTAGACCAGGCTAGCCTTAAACTCACAGAGACCCACCTGCCTCTGCCTCCCGAGTTCTGGGACTAAAGGTGTGTGCCACCACTGCCTGGAGAATTCTATTAATTTTTATTTTATTTATTCTTGGCCATCTTCAAAACCCACTCGAGAGATGGGTTAAGTGGCCTCTGTGGATGGAAAAGGCTAGCCCCACATTTTAGGATATACAAAGATGTAGGAGGGATATTTTGTTTAATTTATAGAGACTGTTTCGCTTTATCTTGCATTTAAATTAAGAATGAGTAAGATGTTAATACTTGCATTTGTTTTTAGAAGCCCTGAAGTAGTAAGCATTAGTTGGAGCAGGCTTAACTAAACCTTTAGCTGAATTTGAAAGACACATCTTCGGATTAATGCATAATGAAATAATTGAGTTCTCTTGTGGCATATGATTATTGTAATATGTAAGACAGAAAATGTGTTTCTGATATATTGAAAAAATTTACTTGATGTGGATAGGAATGTGATTGTTTTTTAATGAATACTTTTTAAAAAACACAATCTGAAAATTCTATTTCAGGAGCCAAGTTTAGAAAGTATGTGGGACACTCTGCACACGTCACAAACGTCCGCTGGTCCCATGATTTCCAGTGGGTGTTAAGCACAGGAGGGGCAGATCACTCTGTCTTTCAGTGGAGGTTTATTCCGGATGCTGTCAGCAATGGCATACTGGAAACCACACCCCAGGGTAAGTAGCAGTCCTAACTCCCTGATGTCTATATTTTTCAGTAATCATTTTAAGGAATATTCCTAATATCTATTCTGGAGCTAAACAGCTAAGGTGGTTTTCAAAACTCAATTTATCCAGTCTTTTTTTTTAATATAAAGAAAACCTTCTGAGGGGCCAGAGAGCTGGCTCAGTTGCAGAGGAACATGATTCACGTCCCAGCACCCTCCTGGTGGCTAACAACCACACCTATCTCCAGTTCCAAGGTATCCAACACCCTCTTCTGACCTCTGAGGGTACCAGGCATGCCTGTGGTACACATACATACACACAGGAAAAACACTCAATCACATAAAATAATATAAAGGAAACGGAGATTAGTGTAGATTGGTAAGTGATCTTCTCTGAAGACTTTTGCTTAAATGATGCTCAGCTGTGCCTAGAGCTTCACACTGAAAAGGCGACTTTTGACAACAAGATGAAAGCATGCTTCTCAGGCCTTGGGGAGACTGAAGCAATGGGCCTGCTCAGTGTGCGAGGTGATAGACAGCTTTAGGGTGCAGAGAAGGGATTGAGACAGTGGTCTACAGTGTGGGCCCAGATGATCCACGTTAATGGGTGTATAGTCTTTTTATTTACATCTGTTTGCAGTGTCCATATGGATAAGCAGGCAATAAAATAAATAGTGATGCAAATCATTAATAATATGATTCTGTAGGAACATGACTATGGCTGTTTCTGATGCTTAGTAGGTATGTTTGAAAACTGAAGAGGAACTCAATGGTAGTAAGTGCTTGGAGTCTTTAGCACCACCTTTCTCTTTGGTAAATCATACACTTTTCATTTTATAAAGTATGATTTAAAAATCTAGAACTCCTACTATCTAATTAAAAAGAAAAAAGGGAACCAGGTATGATGGCACATGCCTACAATGCCAGCTCTTAAAAAGTAGGGCTAGCCTCTGGAGTTCAAAACCACCCCTGGGGCTAGCCTCTGGAGTTCAGGATCATCCCTGACTGCTTCATGGACTCCAGGCCTGTGTTAGGTGAAAGCTATGGCAGAGCCGTTACTCTGCTTTGCCAGGATGGAAGCTACTTGAAATATCCTTGCCATCACTAGCACCTCATCATTTTCCTTGCCTCCGACGGGTTCTGTGTCTGCAGAAGGTGGCACCGATTCCTACAGTGAAGAATCTGATTCAGACTTGTCTGATGTACCAGAATTGGACTCCGATATCGAGCAGGAAGCTCAGATCAATTATGATCGTCAGGTAAGTACCAAGAGCACAAAAGCCTGAAACCACTTTGATTTTAGGATTGCCCTGATGGAGCTTAGGCAGAAGATAAATGTCCGCATCTTGCCTTTAAATACAGGTTGACAATAAAGCATTTATACCATTAAATATTAAGTGAGGAGTTAGAGAAATACTCAGTGCTTAGAGCAATAGCTACTCTTCCACAGGACCTGGGTTCAATTCCCAGCACCCACGTAGTGACTCACAGCCATCTGTAACTTCAGTTCCAGGTGATCCAGTGTCCTCTCCCAGCAACTTCAGGTTCCAGGCACGCAAGTGGTGCAGACACATGCATGCTAACAAAACACCTTTTCATACTAATTAATTTTTTAATTAAATGGAAGGGAGTTGCTAAGTTTTCAAGTTCAATCCTGAGCATTTGAGCTTTTTGATTTTCAATCATATAAAGCTTTACTATATACACACTTATATGTGGTTGGTTTTTTCTTTCTTTTTACTCTTAAGTTCTTGGGTGGCCCACTACCCAACTCCCAAACATGGAGGCTTATTCTTTCTTATGAATGCCCAGCCTTAGCTTGGCTTGTTTTTTGCCAGCTTTTCTTAAATTATTCTATCTACCTTTTGTCTCCAGGCTTTTATATTTCTCTCTTTCTGTTTATCTTTTCTTTCCTTCTTATTCCATGTCTGACTGTGTGGATGTGGGGCTGGGTGGCTGGCTCCTTCTTTTCTCTCTCCCAATCTTTCTCCTCCCTGATTTTTCCTCCTATTTATTCTCTCTGCCTGGCCACCCTGCCTATCCTTTCTCCTGCCTAGCTTTTGGTCATTCAGCTCTTAGACCAATCAGGTGTTTTAGACAGGCAAAGTAGCACAGCTTCACCGAGTTAAACAAATTCAACACAGCTTTGTATCATTAAACAAATATTTTATAGCATAAACAAATGTAACACATCTTAAAGTAATGTTCTACAACTTATATGATTTTTATTTTGCAAGGAAAATGCATGTAAAGTACAAGTTTTTCTTATTTCCCTAGCAAATCATAAAACTGCACATTTTTAGGATGGGTACCCTCCAAGAATGGTAGCCTGTGTATGAGCAGTTGTCCTCATTTCTTGCTTAATTTTATAGATATTACCTGTTTATTTAGAGTAAACCCGGTTCCAATGGGCACTCTCTATCCAGGAGGAATGCTCTTTCCCCCCACAAAAGTCAACAGCTTTTAGGAGAGAGCAGGGACTGTGAGAGCAGTGCTTGTAAGGAATCTTACACAGTAGCGTGTCATGGGGATAGCTCCAGAGGTCCAACTCCCCCCGTCTTTGTATAAGTAACATGTTTATAGGAGTGTGAAACAAAAAAACCTGCACATGAATGTGGAGTGAATAAGACATGAGATCCCAGATTAATAACTGTCAGTGTCGTCCAGGGACACATAACAGACAGGCCTATGGCAGCTCCCACACATAGCTGTCTTCATGTGGCAGCTAAAGTGACTTGCCCCTTTCCACGTGGCTACTGTCTTAAGATAATGCTGACCTGGACTTCTCTCCCTGAACTTCTGATGTAACTCCATATAAGCACTGAATTTACTTCTCTTCTTCCTGTAGTCATTTCTTCTTAATTTAGTACTAAGACAGTGCAGCCAACAATTCAGCTCAACTTCATAGTTAGATTACTTCGACTGTGTACTGACAAATGTGTTATGCAGTCCAAGCACTAAAAGGGGTTTGGAATGAAACTCTAACACTAAGCAGTACCCCCAGGGATAATGAAACTTAAGCACAAAAGATCTGGGAGAGACTGCCCTTTTGTTTAGTTGGGAGATTTTTATTTTGTGGTGCTAGGAAGCAGTGGGAAGGTCTGACCACTGAAAAAGCCAGGCCTTGGACTTCCTTATTATCTGTGACTTATTTTTCAGTGCCTCTACATATACTGGTTTACAACATCCCCAGTTATTCCTGAGTAGAGGCTTTTATTCTGTTCTACAGATTGAGGTCCATGATGCTATAACATCCAAGCAATAGACATGCCCCAGAAAAGAATCATGGTTTCAGATGAGTAATTATCTGTGGACTAAGAAGTGTAGTTCATTATATCTAAAACAGAAAAAACAACCTTCTGACTTCTTTTCTGATGCCTTAGGCCAGGTCCTAAAAGGAAACTTCATTATAGCTCTATTTCCTGATGTTTTAGTATTATAGTTGATCAAATTGTTATGGGAATCTTTCTGGAGTAAGTACATCAACACTATTAAGAGTGGAACAGAGGAGACATCACCAGAGGAGGGAAACCAGGACAGCTCCTGAAGGGCACTGATTCTGGGTCTAGTTTGTATTCTTATTTATACCCTAAAACCACACGCTGGGAAGGGCAAGCCAGTGAGAGTTTCTATAAACTTGAATGGCAGTCAGCAGGCTGTTACAGGCAGTGACCAATGGTTTCAGCTATTTACCCAGGTCATTCTGTTCCAGGTAGCAAGTGAAGTCCTACTTGACAAACAGACAGTCAATAAATAAGTCAGTATCTAATAATTGGTCTTTTTATCCAATTCTACTTCAAAATGAAATTTTCTTTCCTGAATATGAGAAATTACTAATAGATTGTTTTTTCAAATGTGTTGAAGTTGTTTTTGAGAATAAAACATAATCAAGGTAAATAACATATTCATTTTATGTACATTTAAACTGTAGCAAGTATTTCTTCAGCAGCAGACTTTGAGTTTGGGATTGGACCAATAGAATTTCATACTCAGAACATCCAGATCCATGAGGCCAGGAAGAAAGGAGGCCCAAAGAACAATTCCAGAAGGAAAACAGCTCAGAAAGACCCTGTGTTACAAGCATCAGAGTTTTCTTACCTTCTGAATGAAAAGTATTTTTACTTAATAATTCCTTTTCTTTCTTATTTACTGGACTATCAACTTCATTTATTATCTGGATATATTTACCTAATAAAGCAATAACAAATCAAAGGAGAAGAGGAAATTTTTTAAATCTCAGGTATTTGAAAGTTTTTTTGGTAATTTGGTTCCATTAGGGAAAGGAATATTGAGCCTACACTACATAAAACCCACATTTTATTGAAGTGATAGGTGGTCTGTCTGCAATGCCAAGACACTGTTTAGAAGCCTGAACAGGGGATGTTGGCTAAGCTTTTCTATTGTGCTTGAAGGTTTACAAAGAAGATCTACCTCAGCTAAAGCAACAAAGCAAAGAGAAAAATCATGCAGTGTTCTTTCTCAAGCGGGAGAAGGCTCCAGAGGACAGCCTGAAACTCCAGTTTATACATGGGTAGGTGGCCTTCCTCTGTCCCTGACAAACGAGTCATCAGTCAGTCTCACTACTGGGCCAGAGAGCTCCCTATTTCAAATGCTCCCCTCTCCAAGTTGCGCCCCTGCAGTGACATCTCAGCTGACTCTGTCCAGCTGTCCTGGTTGGTGCTGCGGCCCTCCAGCTCTGGACCTGGTAGGCTTCATGTGTCCTCTCCATGTCGTGTCACCGCTGTTGCCTGCATTCTCCAGTCCTCCAATCCTCAGCTCTGCTTTCTTAGATCACTCTCGATAATGTTTCTTCAGATTTGTCTGCATATGCCCATTGTAAAATTGACATCTAGGGATTTTCATTGTCAGCTTAAATTGTTGAGAAGAATATAAACATATTAAAAATACCTCAGACATTTAAATGTAGCCAGTAGAACCCAAATGCCAAGCTTCATTCCTGCTATTGTCAACTCTTAAAATACAAGAGCAACTATTTTTATCATGATACTTTATATCATTCACATTTTATGTAAATTTTTATAACCATTATAATTCTAACATAAAATTGTACCTTAGTGTATGTTTGAGAGTCTTCAGATACTGTATTATACCAGCTATAAGGAAATGAAGTCTAAGCATGGAAACCAGTACACAATATAACACATACATGCTCACAGTACACTCATGTAAATATGTGCACACACATGTGCGTGCAAATACTAAGTAAGATATAAAATGAAAATTCTAAGGCAGCATGGCTTATCTGAAATGAGATGTGTTGAGTGTGTAAAATAAACTTCAGTTTTAAAGAAGTATCAGATAAAAGCATAGACTATCTCATTAAAACGTTTTTATATGTTGATATGATGATTTAAATGTGTTGAGTTAAAAGTTCTTAAAAATTGGATGTTTTTATTAGAGACAAAGTCTCACTCTGTAGCCCAGGCTAGCTTCATACTTATAGAATCATCCTGTCTTAGCTTCCTCGGTGCTATGTGAAATGTTTCTGGGAACACAAAAGGCCAGGTCAGACTTGATTAAAAGCAGATAAGTGCAGGTTTATTGGGCTTTGTTCTTGGGTGGGTTCACCAGTCCCAAAGAACAGGGCTGGAGAAGTCCTCTGCCCAGGCTAACGCAGGGAGGTTTTATAGACATTAGGCAAGGGGTGATGATGTGCCAGCCAGGAGCTGGGACTGTGCCCAAGTATGGTTAAAAGCTAAGCCTCTGGGTGGGCACTTGGGTGAGCTGGTCATGAAAGAAAGGCGGTTGCACCAGCTGCCAGAAATGTGCAACTGCGCTCTTGGCACCATTCCTTTGTTCAGAATCTTCTCAGTGGGGGGGGGGGGTTGGGGAAGCAGGACAGACAGGGTTTACCAGCTTGTTCAGGGTCAAGCAGGACTTCCAGCTGAACGCTGTGCAATAACAAAGTATTGTTGGACATTTGGCTCACATATTTCTGCTAGATAATAGTGCTGTTCATTTTGAAAATTCAGTTACTGGAAAAACTGACCAAATCAATATTAATACTACATATTAATGTATTTCATTGTTAACCACAGAAAACTTTATTTGAACACTGTTTTCATAAGTTGGTGGTATGTGTGTGCTCTTATTCATTTGTACACCCGTGCATGTGTGTGTGCACTTTCATGCATGCATGTGTGTGTGTGTACATGCTCTCATGCATGTGTGTGTGCAAGTGTGTGTGTGCATATATGTGTGCATGTTTGTGTACATGTTCATGTGTGCGTGTGCTTGGGTGTGTTCACGTGTGCTATCATGAATCCATGCGTGTGTGTGTGTGCAAATGCTCGTGTGCATTCATGAATGTGTGTGTGCACGTGTGTGCGTGTGCGTGCATGTGTGTGCGTGTGTGTGCGTGTGTGTGTGTGTGTGTGTGTGTGCATGGGGGAGTGGAGATCAATGCCAGTTGTCTCCCCCAGCCATCCCCCACATCAGCAGTTCTCAGCCTTCCTAAGGCTGCGACTCTTTACTGCAGTTCCTCATGCCGTGGTGACCCCCAACCATAACATCACTTCATTGCTATTTCATGTAAACTTGCTAGTTATGAATTGTAATGTAAATATTTTTGGAGATAGAGGTTTGCCAAAATGGTGAAAACCCACAGGTTAAAAATGCTGCTCCACGTTATTTTTTGAGGCAGTCTCTTCCTGAACCTGAAGCTACCTTCTGGCTAGTCTGGCAGTGGCCTCCAGGAATCTGCTTGACCATAGTGAATGGCTAGGGTTCAAGCAGTGAGCCCGGCCAAGACGCATCGCTGCTCCCATGGCTTCTGGGATCCAAACTGAGGGGCACATGCTTAAACAGCAAACCCTGGCTGAACCGAGTCCCCCAGCCCACAATAAGGCTTTTCATTTTAGCTGTGTATGTGCTATTCATGGAAAGAGTGTGGCAGAGTTTAGCATGAGTCAAAGCCCACTTCTCAGTTTTCCTTTTAAAAGATGAAAGCATTGAATTAATTCTCACAAATAAATAGGAAAGACAGCAGCAATACTAGTGTTTTTTAATTCTCTAAACAATTCCTGTATTATAGGCTAAAAATAACATTTTGATTTTGATATCACAAAAATGCTAATCTGTTTATATTACTCAATAAGGTGTCTATTTAATTTTGTTAAACAAAAAAGTACTTGATTTACAAAATGATGCATTAACCAATAATTAAGAGTTATTCACCAGATGTAGTAGGGCACACCTTTCATCCCAGCACTTAGGAGGCAGAGGCAAGTAGATCTCTGTAAATTTGAGGGCAGCTTGATCTATATAATGAGTTAGGACACACAGAGCTACACAGTGAGACTCTGTATCAAGAAATTACAGTTATTCAGTTGTGTTTGGAATTGTCTTGCCTCGGCACCCTGAAGGTACTGTACCCCCAAAAGACAAGATGGAAGATGGGAAAGGAAGCCTGAGCCTTGGTTTAGACCTGTCAGAAGCTTAGATTGCTTTGTTCGTTTGTTTTGAAACACAGTCTCTTGTAGCCCAGGCTAGCCTTAAACCTACTGTGTAGCTGGGGATGACCTTCTGATTTTTTTACATCTACCTCCTGAGTGTTGGGACTGAAGTTGTACACTGTTACTCCCTACACAGAATTGCTTTTAGCTAAGAACACAGACACTGGTTGAAAGTCTGGAAGCAGATCTGTGAAAACACAGTCAGTCTCCATGCGCCTCACACACAGTCAGTCTCCATGCGCCTCACACACAGTCAGTCTCCATGCGCCTCACACACAGTCAGTCTCCATGCGCCTCACACACAGTCAGTCTCCATGCGCCTCACACACAGTCAGTCTCCATGCGCCTCACACCGTCAGTCTCCATGCTCCTCACACACAGCGCACATCAACACAGTTGCTTCGCCTCAACAGCTCATGTTTCATTGGTGTGCTGTTCTCTCACCCCCTGTGCTTCAGTTACAGGGGCTACGACTGTAGGAACAACCTGTTCTACACACAGGCCGGAGAAGTAGTGTACCACATTGCTGCAGTCGCTGTGGTGTACAACAGGCAACAGCACACTCAGAGGCTATACCTGGGGCATGACGACGACATCCTCAGCCTGACCGTCCATCCAGTGAAGGACTATGTGGCCACTGGACAGGTGTGTGACCAGAGCTTTGCAAAAGAGAAAGGGCAATTAACTTCTAATCCAATTTACCTAGAATAAAAAATGTATTTGGTAGGAATAAACATAAGGCATGAAACTGCAGGTTCTGAAAACATTGAGGAGGCAGGTGTGGGCCCAGGGGTAAAAGTTATGACAAAAAGATAGCAAAGTGCACATTTAAAGTGCCGAAAATCCCTTAGCAGGGAGCCACTGCTGGGCAAGAATCTGCCAAAACCCAACTCGAGACCCCAGTTAGCGTCTTTGACACTTCAAGCATGATTCCTCATCGGGGAAATACTGAACTGGACCAGACTGTTTCCAGTTGTCTTCCTAGCTTACAAATAACGTATGCTGTGTTATTTCTGAGCAATCCTCGTCACCATGAATGCCTAGTTAACAGCATTATCCTGTCCCTGCAGGTTGGAAGAGACGCTGCTATTCATGTGTGGGATGCACAAACTCTAAAATGTTTGTCACTATTGAAAGGGCACCATCAGAGAGGAGTTTGTGCCCTGGATTTTTCAGGTAAGGTCTCACTAGTGTCACAGAATATGGGCCTATGGCTAATTTTTAAAAAACATCCTCTTGCTTGATTGAGTTCTGATTGTAACAAGGTAAGTTCTTTGCATGCCACCCCGGCCTGAGGCTGGAGGCCATATGTGAGTACCTCACTGAAAGAGAGATTATGCCTCCTTCCATGTTGCATTCAGGTCGCCTTCAGTCTCTCCAGGCCAGCACCTGGAGTTCACATTCTTCTAAGTCTGCTTGGGTGAGTGAGACCAAGAGCAGCTGCTGCTGTGGAAAGTCTTAGCTGCAATTGTCCAGGGATGGTGAAGAGTATCAAATTTAAACCAGACATGTGGACTTCTCCTGTAATCACAACCACTGCAAGGCAGAGGCAGGAAGGGGTTGCCAGAAGTTGGTGTGCACTGCACCTCGCGTTCCAGGCCAGCCTGGAGTACAGCATGGGACCATGTCTCCGACAGCAAAAGATCAGCTCCACAGGTTTATCTCCAAATAAATAGTAGCACATTACGTCTGAGTTATCATATGAAGAGCTAGAGAGAGCTACAGAGCCACTTTATTAAATTGGTGTTTTGGAAACAAATTTTATGTATGGAAAGAAGAACTTCTAAATTAAATTACGAACTCAGCACCATAGAAGTCCTATTGGTAGATGCTGCAGTCTTTATAGTAAATTCGCTTGAAGCTAGAGTTACATAGTGGAATTCTGTTGCAGGGGCTGGAGAGATGGCTCTGTAGTTAAGAACAGTAGGTGTTATTTGGGAGGACCCAGGTTCAATTCCTAGCACCACATGGCAGCTCACAACTGTCTAAAACTCCAGTTCCAGAGGACCCAATACAGGTGCCTTCACAGGTGTGCACATGGTGTGTATAAATACACAGACCCACACATATACAATAAAGAAATACTTTTTTAAAACAAAGTCTATTACAGATGTTACTACCTAGAAATTTTAAACATTTCATTGTAGGAATTGGGTCAATAGAAAAACAAATCTTAATCTTTCAAAATAAATTTGATTGTATAACTGTCTAAATAGCATTGATTGTCTAAATAGCATTCAGGTGTTTCGAACATGTAACATTGCTAACTAAATTCTAAGACTCTACAATCTGTTCCTGAGGACCCTCCCCCTCCCCTCCTCTTATTCATGCCTCTCACCTGGACATGCTACGTTAGTGCAGCCGGGGCTGGCTGTCCCTCACCTGGGCATGCTACGTTAGTGCAGCCGGGGCTGGCTGTCCCTCACCTGGGCATGCTACGTTAGTGCAGCCGGGGCTGGCTGTCCCTCACCTGGGCATGCTACGTTAGTGCAGCCGGGGCTGGCTGTCCCTCACCTGGGCATGCTACGTTAGTGCAGCCGGGGCTGGCTGTCCCTCACTGACAGAGCACTTGGCTCACTGATGGAGCCAGCATCAGTACCACAATAAACAGAGAAAATAAAGCAGAAGATTAGGGAGGAAAGAGAGTGAGGGAGAGAATGAAAGTGAATGGACTTGGATTAGACAATTAGTGGTTGCTGGTCTTTTTTGTAAAGGGAAGAATGCATTAATGCTGATCTCATTCCATCTTACTCACTTCTGGAGTCTTTTGGAAGACAGTTATCATCTCCACCATGGGTCCCCTTGGTTGATTGACTTCGGGCTGTATCTTTGGATGGAAGTTAATGACATTAGCTTTTCTGGGCAGCGTTTCACCCCTAGCCCCTCCATGCTTCTTCACCTCTAGCTACAGTGTGCTTCTGTTTCTTTCTGTTCATGTGCTCTGTTCAGGGTTCCCAAGTCTTAAAGAGCAAGAGTGAGTGTTTTCCTCCATCCTATAGGAGGAAATAACCTGCCTATTCTGCCCCTACAGCCCACTGTTGAGAGCTTTCCTGGAACCAGTCAGGAGCATCTCTGTGTCCTGCACAGTGAACGAGGGTGTTCAGGAGCACCCATGTCTCTGCTCCCACAATAGGTGTCATGCTGTGGACAGAGAATTTACCTTAAAGAATGTTATAGATGAATGAACACATAAAGTTTTGCTTAATGGTCTCTATCCTGTTTCTTACCATTACTGTTATAACTTAACTTTGCAAATCATGTTTGGGAGATAACTGTCTATTTTCTTTGCAATTGTAAGATAAGGCAGTATTTTCTTTTATTAAACTTTCAGATTCTCACAAACTATATGAGTGTGAGTTACTATGGCATTACTAAAAGTTTTCCACTAGCTCCTGTGGCTGCTGCATTAGGAGAAACAAACATTGATAGTTTACTCTTAAGCTGAGGGAGAGAGTTCTCAACAGCATACCTACAAGCTGTCTGCTAAGATTACATCGCAATACACATTGCATGCAAAGTCTTAGGCTTCTGGAAGTTTCTTGTGTGCAGTTTTGAATTGTTAACCATATGTTCTTGACTAAGTAGCAAGATCTAAATGAAAGTAAAATGTTATTTCCTATATGACTCTATCCCAAAGGCTCCAGTGAATCTCCTCACTTTTTCTTTTTAACCCATAGCCTTCTACTCAAAAGCTGAACCACCTTTGTCTTAAAATTCATTTTACCTACAGCTACATAAGCATATGTTAATATTGCTTTATAGTCATTTTAAGACACTATTTAAAATTTTTCTTACACACATACATTATATATATTATATAAATGTATTATATATATAATATATTGGACATATACTCCCAGTCCCATTCCCTATCCTCTCCTTTTAGGTCCCTCTCTCATTATCCTCCTTGTTCCCCTAAATTTCATTTCAGTTTCCATTTAATATGTATACACATTTATGTGTATATTATATTACAATATGTAAATACATGAATATGTCTGTAAAATCTAAGAACCACAAATGAGAGGAAGAAAGATATTTGTCTTTTTGAGGTTGGTTTAATTTGCTAACTATTATCATCTCCAGTTCATTCTTTGTTATTGCTGACAACAATTCCATGGAATTTATAAACCACAGTTTTCTTACCAATGTGGACACCTAGGCTGGTCCCACAGCTGTGCATAGAGCTGCAGGAGCATGATATGCAGATGCCTCTGTGATGTGCTGACTTGGAGTCCTTTGGGTACAGACAAAGGAGGGGCCTAGCTGGTACATCTACTTCTAGCTTTTCTTTTTGAGAGACATCCACACTGGTTTCCATGGAGGAGACACAGATAACTATGCTCTAGAAGATTAGCAAGACACTTGTTAAAATAGTGAAATGAAAATAATAAAATCTACAAGTTTGTGGGATAATGAGAATCCAATATATCTGTGGTCTTGGTGACACTGAAAATTGATTCAATAACTGTAGCAAGTATTTTGCAGTGCTTAAAAACTGTACTTTAAAATATCAATCATGTGAACTATTAATCTTTTAAGTTGAACAAAGAGTAAAGATAATATCTATCACCAATTTCTATGAAAATATGTAATGTGCATTAGCATGTAAAAGGAAACAGTATTACAACTGGAATTTAATGATCACCCAAGTCCCATTATGGGGTAAGGAAATCATACACCCTAGGAGGGGGTAGGGAACATGATTCTGTCCCCTAACCATAATCTTCATCCCTACCCATGTTTAAAGAAATGTCTGTTTCCTTGAGAACTGTGGCAAGAATAGCCCCTTTTGGATAACTGTATTTATGTTTTCTTGTCTTCACATCAGCCTGCTTTGTGTTTCCAAGACAACTTGTCTTATGAGTTCTCTGGGTGAGGTAGTTCTGCCCGTGAAGAGCAGTTTTAGTTTAACAGTACAGTTCCCCATTTCCCAGATACCAATCGCTAAGGAAGAACCCTAGAAACTGCGTTTTGTCTGTGAGATTATAGTGTTGGTAATTAAGTGGCTAGAAAAGAATGGAATTGATGGCTTTAGAAAACACCTAAAAACTGTTCAGGAACCATCTTCACTGGATCTATGATGAGTGATTCATCACCACAAATGGTTGCCTCCAGACTGCTTCAAGTTGATTGATCCCTGTGGTCCAAATTGGGAATACTTTTTGGTTTAATTCTATGGATCCGATAGGTTGTAACAATGTAGCTGTAGACTATCCTCTGTTCCTCTTCCTTGGTGGAGAACTGAGAAACTTTGTTGAGGCGGTGCTGAGGTCAACAGTTGCAGGTCCACAAACACCCAGGTCTCCCGGCTCTCAGTCTGAGAGTGCCACCTGGCAAGACACCTGGAAATTTGCCCTTCTCTGTCTTTAGTCCTGACCCGACTTTTTGCTGGTGCAGAGACTCTGGTGGGGCCCCTGCGGCATCCTGTGTGCTTGCCTGTGGCCCCAGGTATATGCCTCAGAACCCTCTACAGTCTCCTGGTTCAGCTCCTTGTGGGGTCTCATGGGGTCCAGCCAGTAGTAATTTGTATTGTATTAAAAAAAACAAGCTGTCTTGGGTATTGTTTTTTTTTTTTGTTTTTGTTTTTTACTCTTTTACTTTGTTTTGCTTTTTTGAGGGATCTGCCACAGAGCTCCCGAGTAAATAAGACATAGAGGCTTATTCTTAGTTATGAATGCTCAGCCTTAGCTTAGCTTGTTTCTTGCCAGCTTTTCCTAAATAAATTATCCCAACTACCTTTTGCCTCTGGGCTTTTATCCTTCTCTATTTCTGTATCTCTGACTCTGTGGCTGTCTGGGTAGCTGGACCCTGATGTCCTCCTCTCCTTGTTCTCTTGCTCTTCCCTTCCTTGTTTCTCCTTCTATTTGTACTCTCCGCCTGCCAGCCCCACATATCCCCGTTCCTTACTTGCTATTGGCCATTCGCTCTTTATTAGACCACCGAGTGTTGGGATAGGCACAGTACCACAGCTTGACAGAATTAAACAAAAGTAACACACCTTAAAACAATAGTCTACCACACTTGGGCATATAAAGCAAGCCAGTGTGAAAACAAAGCAGCTCATACAGTTACACAACGGGGAATGAATTAATCTGTTCTCACCACAGTTCAAGGTGAAACAAAGATACTTCTTTAGACATTGGCAAGGAGTGAATTTATGTTTTTCTCATTCAACTGAGCAGTACTTTTCAAATTGCATTTATTTATTTCTTTCCATATGTGTGTGCAATGGCATATTTGTGGAGGTCAAAGAACAATCCTGAAGAGTCAGTTCTCTCTTTCCATTGTAGGGGTCCCAAGATGGAACTTGGGTTGGCAGGCTTGGTGGCAAGCACCTCTACTGACTGAGCCCTCTCTCTAACCCTTTAGCTGCTACTTTAACTATTATCACTTCTAGGGAGCATGGGGGACCATTTTTGTTTTGTAACAGTGTAATGAAAATGTTTCACGTGGCATAGAAAAACCAATTAGGAAAAGTTCAGCTTCACAAACATTTTCTGTCTTAAATGTCAGCTGCAAGGTGTTTAAAGGCCGCCATACAATGGTGTTGACTCCGGAACACATAATGCTGGCTGGACATCACTGTCCACTGAGGAAACCTATGCATTTTCAGTGAGTCCTGAATAGGAAGACCAACTTGTAATTGTCAGAATATGTTTTCTTTTTCTAATTTGCCTTTCACTGTTGACATTAGCTTCCTTGGAACTATTTCTAGGCTATCACAACCATCTATAATTAATACATGCTGTGCCTAGAAAGACTGAAAAGAACATCACCTAGACTATAAAAACAAAAACAGCAACAACAGCAAAACCCTACGATGGTTGGAAACAATAGATCTTTCAAAGGTAAAGCCAAGGCTCTGTTGGGAAAATAGAAACAAGGAAATAATAAGAAGGCTCCAATTTTATTTCTAGATAGTGTGTTTTATAGAAATTGCTTATACCTGTAGAACCCAAGAAAACCCCCTACCCCAGAAAAGTAAGCTTTTGTTGGGGTAGATGGTGGATAACCTCACAGAAATTCTAAAAAGAAACCCCCAGAACTTCCCCCACAAAAATCAATCTGCTTACATATGAGGTTTCAGAAGTCAGGAAGTTTTAAAACTGAGATTTAGATGTACGGACACTCATACACCTAGGTCATATTGACACATCAAGACAGCATTCGGGAGACAGCATGCACTTTAGAACAAGCTGATACAGAAAGAAGATACTTATTTGTGCAGTGTTTTCTAAAGGAATGATGGTGTTTAAAATAGTCATATAACAGTACAGCTCCTTTCTATTGTACTCCCTATAGGCACATTCCATCCTTGTCATCCATGTCCTCCTCACCAGCACTACCAGCATGTACCCAAAATAGCTCTGTGTAGTTTCAAAGCATGACCTGCTTACTACGAGCCTTGAAAGAATGTATGATCTTAATGAAAGAGAAAAAACAAAGATAAAATCACCAAAAGTGAAGTTCACTAGTACAGATGCAGACAGGCCATACCAAAAATTAAGGAACCAGTGGCAATGAGGGTGCTGAGCACAAGTTCCCGCTGCACAACGCTGAGAGACCGTCTAACTTAAAGCTTGGTGTCCTTTAGGAATAAGGACACCATCATAAACTTACTGTGCTCACTTAATGGCGACTGACTCTTTTACACGTTTTAATGCCTTTGTGTGATGAACTCAGCTTGCATCTTGAGAAGGTTCGGGTAACCTTTAAGTCCTAGCCTCAGAAGGGCCTGGCGGGTGAGGGTTGTGCAGGTCTGCTGGGTTAAGCCCCAGTCCGTCTCCCTCCGACTCCTCCTCCGGACGGCGGCAAAGACCATCATCTCCATTTGGCTAGAGGATCTCCACACAAGTGAGGCCACTCCATGTTTGCACATGGCTTGAAGTTGGGTTGCCAAAGATTTAGCCTGTAAAAATGCAGGAGGTTCAAGTAGATGTGAATTTCTAATAAGAATTTAACATTAGTAAATTATATGTAACATAAAAAAATATTCAGTGCCAATTCAGAGACTCCATGAGACACATAAAATGTTTTTCATTGCTTCTGTGAAATTCCAGTTTGGTAAGGCTTCCTCTACTTTACCCTAGTTTGGGGTCTATCCCTGGCCTGCCTTTGAAAGTAAAAGTTGACAACTTGAATGGATGAGTCAACCCAAGGACAGTTTCTCACATCCTGTGTCTTTACCTTAATGATGGCCCTTTGTGAAAGACAGGAGACCCCGATTCACTGATGCCGGGTCTCCTAGCAACTGCACAGCGGTGGGAGGGAGAAGCGCTGGCCCTGCAACAGTTCCCTTTGAACCCAGCGAAAGGAAATGCTTATTGACTGTGCCTCCTTCTATGTTGAAGGGAACCTGAACATTAACTATATTCATTTCAAATTTAATTGTACCTTCCCTAGAACTTAAAAACATAGCCTAAATGTCAAAATTGTAGCAATAGTTGATAACAGTATAAATATTTTATAATAACATTATTACAATAGTATTGTTAATAATGATAATGTATTACAGTATGTGAGAAAATATTAGCTGATGGCTTGGTCAGTGTGACCTTGCTTTTGTTTCTCAAAAGCGATTCATGTAGCAGGTTTTCTTGAATTAACAGTTCCCAAATCATGACATGAAGACTTATTAATTATGAATGCTTAGCCTTAGCTTAGGCTCATTTCTAGCTAGCTATTTTTCTTTTTTAAACTTAAATGAAGCCATTTCTTTTTTTTTAAAGATTTATTTATATTTATTATGTATACAGTGTTCTGCCTGCATGTATGCCCACAGACCAGAAGAGGCACCAGATCTCATTACAGATGGTTCGGAGCCACCATGTGGTTGCTGGGAATTGAACTCAGGACCTCTGGAAGAACAGCCAGTGCTCTTAACCTCTGAGCCATCTCTCCAGCCCGAAGCCATTTCTTTTGTTTGTTTTTGTTTTTCTAGACATGGTTTCTCTATGTAGCCCTGACTGTCCTGGAACCCATCTGTAGACGGCCTGCTCTGCCTCCTGAGTGCTGGGATTAAAGACTTGGCCACCACCTCCTAGCAGATGAACCCATTTCTGTGACTCTGTGTGGTCCCCTGAGGCTCTTTTACCTCATCTACATCCTGGACATCCTGTTTTCCTGCTTTCTCTGTGTTTTTATTTGTGAGCTGGTTGGAGGCCCAAAGAAAATTCCAAGTACAGATTTATGTGATGAAAAAGACAAGTAGGCTTACATCAGGGGTAGGACTACAAGAAATTTGGAATAATGTGTATGTATGCATGCACATGTGTGTACAGTTAGTAACTTTGTATGTGTATGATTCTTGGGCTCAAACTCAGGGCTGCTCTTGTCAGGCAAGCTTTGCACTAAGGAACTGCTTCCCCAGCTTAAACTTTTCTTCACACATATTTTCTAAATGTTTATAATGTGCACATTTCATTTGAACTAGAAAAATAAGCAATCAAGAACTTTCAGTTGGAAGGTCATCATCTGTAAGAATGTCTGAAGCTACTTTTTTTTCTATAATGTTCTTAACTTGACAGTTAGACCAAAGCTAGGCTTTTTAGATGTTTCTGAGTTAGAAATAGCCCCAGAGTCACAGAGCTAAATAATGCCCTTCCAGCATTTCCTAAGAGTTGTCTGTCACAGAATGAACAAGACTCATGTCGCTTCCTTGAGAGGCCCTGTTGGTTGATTCTGCCTTGTTGGGGTCTAGTCAGTGGCTGAGCTCACTAGCCACGGTGTGCATTCAGAAACTGGACTGTTGTTGGTCACACATTTTACTCTGTTTCAAATGTATTTGAGCATAAAGAGTATTGTTGAATTTCTTGCTCCTCTTTGCAGTGTATAAACTGTTTCGGCTTCTCACGAAGAAACAGCTTGTTTGACATTTGTGTTGTTTTCATACAGCTGATGGAAAATGTCTGGTGTCCGTTGGTTTAGACGATTTTCACAGTGTTGTGTTTTGGGACTGGAAAAAGGGAGAAAAGATAGCCACGACCAGGTAAGGATCCACAGGGCGCATTGCTGTTAGCTCACGTCAGTGAAGCTCAGCAGTTCCCAGGTTTTGTTTGACAGTCCTCTTCAGACTCAGTGAAATTCACGTGGAAACCTAACACCTAAGTGAACACATATCGATCCTCTTCATGGTGCCAAGCCAGGTGTTCAGCATAAATGTCTGATGGGAAATTAGAAAATTCCAGAATGCTCCCCAGACAGCTCTTCATCCACACCCTTTCTGTAATATTATCTCTACGAAGCTTTGTTTCCAGCAGAAGAAACAGGTGTGCCTTGCCTCTTGTCTTCTCTGTCCTAGTGGCTGGGAAGGATTGTCAATGTCATTGAAGTCAGAAACACCATTTGTCACGAGGCTGTGGCCTGTTGGAGAGGAGGCCCTATCGAGCGCATCTGCTGCTTGCTTTCAGAGCAGGCAAATTGTTCCCCTAATCCCCACACCCTATAAATAGACTCTCAAGACCAACTGCTGTTTATAGCCCACCTGTCCTCCCTTACCCCAGCTTCTCTTTCTGCCTGCTCAGCACTAAGTCTGAACATGACTGTCTACTCTCATCCAGCTCAGCCATGTGCAGGCCCGGTCAGGGGTCAACACTTGGCAGCCACAGTCCAGGAAAGCAGCTGGTTGCCCAGGCACAGTTTCATATGCTGTCCGTTAGTTATGACCTACATTACCAACATCCTGTCTGTGTCACAATAGCAAAGTTAATGGCCTTGAATTGTAATATTTGCTTTTTAAATTAATACTGTCTACTCAAACATTACATGGGAACAAAAGCTTTTGGCAGTTGATAGTAATGAATGAAGGTCTACAAACTGTGGCAGCTGGAGCCTTGAGGACTGCAGCTGACCTTAGAAAAAGTAGAGAGGTTGCTTTGTGGTGGCTGTCGAAATGGGATTCCTGGCGGCAGTAACGCTCAGAGCCCTGCACGCACGCTCTCCTTTCTCGTCTTTCTTGCTGGTGTCCCTCACTCTAGCCCCTCGCCCCTCTAGGCTGCTCTCCTCCCAGACTGAAAACTGAATTTTAATTTAGTATTCCTGATAAGGTACTCTCTGACTTTACACAGTATCTCCAGAAAAGTCTGTGTCCGCATTGAAAACTCAAGGATCCCCTCTGAAGCTGTAGGGACTCACAGTTGTGTGTTGGAGACACTATGAGAAACAGAAGGCGGTACATCTTAGTATTTTTTACAGGCTTGTGAATAGGATCACTTCTGTTTAATTAGCACACAGCAAGCTAATGCCATCATGTTAGTAACACATTTTTGGTTTGTAATTGTTTCCCAGTACATTGTCCCATTCCAAAGCTGGGAAACCTACAGAGTGGGTTGCCCTCTAACAGCATTTTTAATGAGGCATTAATCAGTACTTTTTCCTAAGCAGAAGGTCAGATTTCAGTAAAACTCTGTGGGAGAATACTATATTTTTTAAATAATGAATAAATATAACTATTTACTTAGTATTAATGCTGTTTGCACTAATATATAAATAACCAACTAGTTACAAGCTTTTAAAAAAATGTAGTGTGGCCTTAAATGAGGTGCTGTGGTAGATAAGTATCTAAAACCAGGTGACAGAAGTCGTGCTGTATGAGTGACCCCAGCCTGACTGCATACCCCTCTTAGCTTCTGAGGAATCCCTGCAGGGGCTCCGGGCCTCTAACTCTGCCCTGTGCAGTCTCAGTCATTGCCAGCCTCGCTTTGAACAGAGCCTAACCGTGATCCTGCTCGTGGCAGCACAGCTGCCCCACAGCTCTGCGGTTGCCTGGGTGAGAACAACCCCTCGGGGATGGGGCACAGTGGGTTGCCGAGATGGCCAGTGTCCACATGCACCGTCTGTACCAAACTGCACTCTTGGGATCATCCTGCATTTACGAAGGTGTTTATGTGAGTCTGCTCATTGTCAGCTCAGGGAAAGAGAGACGTTCAGAATACCAAATGGACTCTTACAAGATCTCCACTGAGATCTGAGCCTCTCTGTTTGGATGTATTTGTACCATTGCTAATTTCATGAATGCCTTCAGCCACCTGTTAGCAAATGGAATTTTTAGATGATGTTAATCTGTCTGGTTACAAAACTAAATTTCTTTTAATTTCGAGAAGAAATTACTGGTATAGCTACTTTACTTTTAGGCATTGTAGCAGCACATTAATTTTACATAATAATGGATTTCATTATAATGTTTTCATACATGTAGATAGTGTATTTTGATTCTATTCTTGTTCCCCTCTCACTTGTTTCCAACTAGCCAACTTCTGATTTCATGGTGTGTGTGTGTGTGTGTGTGTGTGTGTGTGTGTGTGTGTGTAATTAGGGTAATTTACAGCAGCATAAGCGAGGGATTACTTACAAGACTGAAGATGTCTCTCCCTCCTCCAGCAATAATTAGCTGCCTATGAATGCACAAAGGGCCAGGGCCTCTTGCCTGCCTCCCCCCTCCGTGATGGAATGTTGATGGGCCCTCTCCTCCGCAGGCCTTATGCAGGTGTCACAGATGCTGAGGATTCGGGAGTGCCTGAAAGACATTGTTGCACAACACCCCTTCCTGCAGCTCTCACACTGTTTCTTGTCCTTCTCTTCCAATGTTTCCTGAGCTTTGGGAGGGTGATCTAGATTGTCCCATATAGAGCTCATACTCAACAGTCACTTACTCTCAGCATTTGACCAGTTAGGAACCTCTGCAATAACATCCACCAACTACAAAATTCTCTGACCCAAGCTGAGAGTAGCACTAGACTATAAGCATAAATGAAATATTCAAAACACAGTTTGACAAGAGGCATCATGTCCATTTAGCAAAACATCAGGAGCTTCCCCATTCTGGCCTGAGGCCTCCTCAGCCACAGCACAAGACATATATTCCCTCTTGTGGAGTCATTCTTACATATAGTGGTTGGTTACCTCCATACAGCCATGCTACTATTATACCAGTGGACACATCTTGCCAGGAAATAAACTTAAGTGTTCTGAATCAGTAGATAACATCCTTTCTCTCTCAATAGCTTGTGAGCCAAGGACTCAATTTATAGTGAATATTTTTCTAGCCAAATTGTCCATTTGAAGCTTTTCATTAATGTCATTCCTTCTATATTTCCTGCCCAAGATCTCACTGTCTCAGAATTACATGCAATCCAATGGTGGTGTCATTAATTTTATCTTATGGAGACATTCAGATACATTTAAATAGATAAAGGTAGGGATATTAGGAAAGACAGTAGGCCCAAACATGTGCACACACACACATCCATGCTGCTATTTTATAGTAGACTCCTGTGTGTTTTAAATATTTTCTTGGTTCCTTGTTTATCCTGTTAGATACACTAAGCCAAATATGTTTTCAATATAATTCTATCAATGCTTTCATCTAAACTAGAGGTTATTTTTCCTTGTTTGTCTCTTACAGAGGGCATAAAGATAAAATATTTGTGGTAAAGTGTAATCCACACCATGTTGACAAGCTGGTTACAGTTGGGATTAAGCATATCAAATTCTGGCAACAAGCAGGTACTATTACATTGTTATTGGGTTTCTCTTCTATGTAGCAGAGAACTGTACCCTTGCCTTGGGATGAGGGGTCCTATTGCCATCATGTGGCCAGTCTCTATGCAAACTAAAATTAAAATTTGCTTGATACTCTCTCCCAGTTTTGCACTGTACTAATTATTGCATAAAATGTGAAACCCTATATGATGCTAGGTATATTCATCAGTATCTAGAAAGCTTTTGAAAATGTTCTGCTGTGAAAATAATGATTTTTATATTTAGTCATCTGAACTGAAAGCAGTAATTATGTTGTAGTGCTGAGTAGGAAGTAATTACTTTGGTTGAGTGAATACTGTTTTCAATATTTGGAGGATTCTTTTATTAATACACTGCCAAATTTAGCATATGACTCTGTACATAGAAGGTGGTCAAAATAAGTATTTGTTAAATTATATGTTGACAAGAGTGAGGACTAAATAAACATGAATAAACATGGAAACAGCTGATTCCTCACTTGTAGGCACTGTTACAATTGTATCTGAATTCTTAGTACTGAGCCCAATAGTACAATGAGCATGTGTGGGGCTGCTACTCTGCCGCTTTCCTCTTTTAAAGGAAGGACAGTGGTAGCACCCGAGTATGTAGAAGCCAGCTGGATGTGAATGTCTTAAATGGAGCTGGGTTGTCAGTGATGGTCAGAGTATAGAAAATGGGAAAACCTAGGGCACAAATCTGATGATATTATTTCTCCTATACAACAGTTCATTCTTGACCCCAGAATCATCATGAAAAAAATTGAGACAGAACATATACAATTACATTTTACACATACTATCAGTCTGGCTTTGTTCTTTTCTTCAGTTTCATTGAGGCTTTCCTTGCTCCCTGAGCCCTGAGTCATTCTGTTCTTCAGCAGACAAGGAAGGAGGACTTACACTTAGGCTGTGTGTGTGTTGGATTAGAAGGCATATTAAATCCTCCATCTCACCAGATCTGGGTTCCTTAAAACAGGAATGCTGTCCTTGTATTATATCTGGCATTGAGCACCACATCTGACAGACAGAAAACAGGAATCCTGTGGATCCTGACAGAGTGGCTGAGCATCCTCACAACACCCTTGCTGTTTTTGTTACTTTGACACATACTATAGACAGTTTTTTCCTCAAGATGATCCTTCTATGTGCTCAGAGGAAGCTCCAACTTTCTAGGGTATTATATACCCTTTTTCTGCTCCAGGTGGGGGCTTCACCTCCAAAAGAGGGGTCTTTGGAAGTGCTGGAAAATTGGAAACAATGATGTGTGTTTCTTATGGGCGAATGGAAGATCTAGTGTTCTCAGGGGCAGCCACTGGAGACATTTTCATTTGGAAGGATATTCTACTACTGAAGACAGTGAAGGCTCATGATGGACCTGTGTTTGCAATGTATGCCCTGGACAAGGTATGGTATGTTTGTCGGCTTCCTTTTCCTTGTCAGCTTCGGAAGAACCACTAAGAAGCTTGAATCAAAAAATAACCCTGTCTGAATTAGGAAGTAGTTGTCAGAGGGGACTAACCAAAGGGCAATAAGGAAGAGAACACAGTTTTTATCATTTCTTTTGCTCATAGCTGCCCGTGCTTCTCTGTTTTCTCATATCTGCACCTCCTGGCTGCCACTCCTAGGAGTCCCATAAGGAGTCTGAAGGGAGATATGGGCACCCAACAGCAGGAGAGACCACAGGTGTATCTCAGTGATGTCCTTTACAGTGGCACAGTATGTAAAGACCTGGAGGTACAGAGTGCTTACCTTATTGTCCCACACATTGGTTTATTGCAACCAAAGGTGGTGTTCATAAAAGGTTTGCTCCTGAACAGACAGGTTCAGCTGCCAGGAGTGTTCAAGCAAAGTATGCAATGGCTATATTTCCACTCCAGGTCATCGTCCTAATCTGCCCAGCTACCCATCTGCCTTCCAGTGTTCTTTACAAAGACTATTTAACAGTGTGTTTAAAGCTCTTTCTTTCACTAATATGCCTGAGAATGACAGCCTTTTTTATTCAGTTCTATAGCACTATTAGTTCACTTCAGTTTAAGCTACTCAACATGGTTTTTAAAATATATCAAGTTTTAAAATGTAACAATAAATATGTTGAGCCCACAGCAAAAGTATGTCTTTGCTGGAAGTGCAGTTGTAATGATAGTTTTTGTAGTTGAGCTGTTCTTTTGCTGGAAAATTTGATTTTGGTTAAATTATAAATGTTAGAAAAAATTAAAGCATAATGCAAAATTTGTGGCATCCTAGAAGTCAGTGTGGTATAACCTAATTAAATGCTTTTATTATTTAGGAAATTAAGCTAAAGAGCAAGAATAGTTCAATACAATATGCTGTGTTTGTATTTAATTTGAGCAACCATGAAGAGCAAGAATAGTTCAATACAACATGCTGTGTTGATATTTAATTTGAGGGGTGACTCTCCTTGCTGCAGTTCTAGCCTGCTGTTCTCAACATCCACTGAAACTGTCTCTAGACCCTAGAGGACTACAAGAGCCAAAGGTCCTCAGGTTCCTCATACAAAAAAGGGAAAGGTATTTGCCTGCATCCTAGGTGCATGCACACACACACACACACACGCGCGCGCGCGTGCACGCATGTGCGCGCGTGCATACCATGTACTTAGGATTATGGACACCCCACTGTGTACTTTGAATCCTATCTAGATTGCTTACAATAGCTAATGCATCATAAATGCTATGCAAGCCATTGTAGTTCTGCATTAGGAAAATAAGGACAAGAAAAATGCCTGTGAATGTTCAATGTAGATGCAGTGCTTTGCTTCCCTCATGTCTCAGTCTGTGAACACAGAATCCAAAGATGCAGAGAGCAGCTGTAATAAAAAGGGTATTTACTCTAATGAACTTCAAAATATGGTTTCATGTGAGCTTAATTAAATGCGCTGAATTTAAAAATTGATAGGTTGGAGAATTGGCTCAGTGGTTAAGAGGACCCGGTTTTGACTCCTGGCACTCATATGATTGCTCACAATCATCTATAATTTTATTCTTAGGGATCCTTTTCTAGCTCCCACAAACACTTCATGCTCATGGTACACAGATATACATGCAGGCAAAATGTTACACATAAAATAATGGAAAAATATAAAAGACTGTTATCACTGGATTTTTTTTCACTTAGAAGATATACCTGGAGCTGCCTGATCTAAGGGGAAGTCCTGGTGGGACCAGAAAGTGATTGGTCATGTTGATGTGTACATATAACCTTTTACATTCACAGGGCTTTGTAACAGGTGGAAAAGATGGGATTGTGGAACTCTGGGATGACATGTTTGAAAGATGCTTGAAGACCTATGCCATCAAAAGGGCTGCACTGTCAACTAGCTCTAAAGGTAGTACCCAAATATGCAACCAAGAACACTCTGTTCACAGGAACTGGGCAGTGGTGCCAACTTCTTGTAGGAGTAGTTCTTAGCCAATCAGATTTCTTTCTTCCCATCAGAATCTCAGTCCCTGGCAAGCATATCAAAGATGATTGCCTAGTACCTAGCTAGAGCTAGCCCTTTGAAATGGAAAACACTGTGCTAACCCACCTTCCTGGTACTTACTAAATTCAACATTTCCCCTCTCAGGCCTGCTTTTGGAGGACAACCCTTCAATTCGTGCCATCACCCTGGGCCATGGACACATTCTTGTGGGAACAAAAAATGGAGAGATTCTAGAAATTGATAAGAGTGGCCCAATGACACTGCTTGTTCAGGTACCTCATTTGTACATGTTGCAAACCACGTTCATGTCAAGGCTGAGAATGGACAAGAGAGGCAAAGGGTACATAGGTTACATAGAACGTCCTGGGGTGCTCCCGTGTGGTGTTCACTGGCTGTTGGTGTGCCGTGCACAGCCACAGACCAGCAACACTCATTCTAACCTCACCACCTCTGTGGGCCAGGATCTGAGTACAGCTGAATGGGTTCTTCCACACGTTGCTAAAGGCTGGGGCTCAGCAGAGTGGGGAGCTTCTTCGGCCTCTTAGGCTGTTGGCAGAATTTAGTTCCTGTGGCTGTAGGACTGGCGTTTATTTTCTTTCTAACTGTTGCCCAGAGGCTACCCCCAGTCATGTCACCTATCAGCCCAGAGTTCAGTGGGATGCATAGGATTTCTCATACACTTACTTTTCCAGAGCAAGCAAGAAAAAAAATAGACACCACGATCTTATGCAACTTAATTATGGCACACGTTCCCTGGAACTTTCAGTCACCTTTGCCTCATTCCACTGGTTAGAATCAAGCCAAAGGTCATGCCACACTCAAGAGGAGATGATTACAGGCTTTGATGATGAGGGGCTTTGTGACTATTGCCCCAGGAGCTTGTCTGCTGTACTCCTCTGGCCACCAATGGCAGATATCCCAGCCATTCTATGGACTCAAGAGCCTAATCACTTGATAATACATGCTCAAAGTTCAGAATCTAATCATCCATATCAGACCCAAGTGTGGATGATGCACCTTAGATATAGATATAGCTCCTTCTGATCTGTTGATCATAAAACTGGTGATAATTTTTAAAAACTGATGATAATTTCGCTGTTCGCCACGTAATCCTTTAGGCCTTGCTTCACACACCACATTACCTTCTCCTCAACCCCCTTTCCCTCAGGATACATACCTATGCAGAATCAGATTTAAACAGCACAGAAATGTTTGGTGGGCAGGAGTCCTGCCTGTTCTGTCATCACACTGCCTTTGTAGGTGAAGAGGCATAGTGAGCCATGAGGCTGTGTTCAGAAGCTAAAATGAAGAAACATGCTTATTGTGGTTTCTATTGCTATTAATTGCAAGTTAAACTTGAAAAGAAAACCCTGCCTGTCAACAAATGGACTAATAAACAGACAGTTTTCAATAGAAGAAACACAAATAGACAATAAGTATTTTTAAAGATGTTAAACACCCTCAGCCATCAGGGAAATATAAATTAAATAACTTTGAGATTCCATCTCAAATGGCTACCATTAAAAAACAAAACAAAAAAAATGCTAGCATGTTTTTCTTTATCCCATCAGTCAGCTCCCAAATTATGATATGGAGATATGTTACTAATTCTGAGTACTCAGCCTTAGCTCAGACTTGTCCCACAAGCTCTTTTAACTTAGTTTAACCTGTCTCTTATTCATCTACATTTGCCTTGGGGCTTTTTACCTTTCTTTCATTCTGCACGCCCTACTTTCCTGCTTCCCCTGTGTTTGACTGGTCCCTGCTGTCTCCTTTTCTTTCTTCCTTCTAATTTCCTTATCCTACTTACTTACTCCCTACCCAGAAGTTCCACCTATAACTCCTCCTTTGCTATTTTCCATTCAACTTTTTATTAGATCAATCAGGTGCCTTAGGCAGGCAACATAAAACAGCAACACATCTTTACATAATGAAACAAATGTAACACATTTTTACATAGTTAAACAAATATTCCACAACATATACAAATTGTAACACATCTTTATATAGTTAAATAAATATTCTGCAACATAAATAAATACAACACATCTTTATATAGCTAAACAAATACAGCATATCCTGGCATAGTTAAACAAATATTCTACAACACATGGACATGGGAGAAAAAGAGGAACCCTTATTTACTGCTGCTGGGAATGTAAACCAATTCGGTCATTTAGGAAAGAAGTATGAAGGGTTCTCAAAAACTTAAAAGTAGAATTTCTGTATAACCCAGCTATAAACACATCTATACACCCAAGAATGGTATCCTCCCATAGACACCTGCACAAGCATGTTTCAGCCTGCTCTTTTTCACAATAGCAAAGAAATGGAATCAGCTGAGACTAGTGGATGAGTGGTTAAAGAAAATGTTACTTACTCAAAATTTTCTTCAGCTGTAATGAAATTTGCAGGAAAATGAATGAAACTGGAAAAGATAATGAATGAGGTAACCTCGACTCAATAAAACAAAAATTGTATATTCTCTGTCATGTACAGATCCCAGCATACATGTATGTGTGTGTGCATGTACCCTGGCCATGGGGCTGTGGCTTGTGAAACATGTAAGGTGGTCACTGAGGGGGAGGGGGTAGGAAATGGATTGAGGGGGGAAAAGTTCAAAGGGGAATCAGAAGGAGGGGGAAGGAGATGAACAAAGGCTGGTTTAAAATGGTATGTATGTACTGAAACTACCGAGATAGATGACAGACAGAGTAAACCCTCCTTCAGAAATCTGGTTAAAATAAACCTGAAGCCCCTACATCTGACTGTGCAGGCCCTGTGGGAGCCATGCTGGCCCCTTTACAAGTCTTTGCTTCGCTCGGTCCCATCCAGACTAATTCCTCCCTCTTTTTGGTCACAACTTATTTAATATTATGAAAAAGCATATTTAAACCCTCAAAAGTTTGAAAATGTTTGAAAATTAAATTTTTTCCGTAAATGCTAGATTTGTGTTTTTAAAATTTTTATGCTATAATTTATTTTTATTTATTTATTTATTTTGTTTTTTTGGTTTTTTTTGAGACAGGGTTTCTCTGTATTGTTTTGGAGCCTGTCCTGGAACTCACTCTGTAGACCAGGCTGGTCTCGAACTCACAGAGATCCGCCTGCCTCTGCCTCCCGAGTGCTGGGATTAAAGGCGTTCGCCACCAACGCCCAGCCTTATGCTATAATTTAAAGTACAGTGTAAACTCTTCTAATTTTATAAAATGTTATATTAGTTGAGGTAATTTTTTTAAGTCTGCTTTAAATGTGATAAGGGGCTTTTCATTTTTTGGCTTTTGCTATTGTGCTCTCTCCTGTCTGTACTGTTGCTCTAATATGAAAGTCACCCCTGCTGTGGCCTATTGAGTACCTACTGTGTGTCAGGCAGTACCACAGCTCAGGCCAGCCCCCATTTCCCCTACTCTAGGCTGTTCCCACTTGTCCTACAACCATGGGTGTGGCGGGAAAGCAGTACAGGAAGATAAGGAAGGTGCCGCCCCCTGAACTGGGAGCCCCAGTGGCAACGTCATCAGCCTCGTCCACCCTCTCCCTCCTGGGTAACTAATCTGTCCCTTTCTGTGGGGGTCCCTGAAAGTGCTATGGACCACAGAAAATGATCTATGAGAGGCAACAAGGAAATCTATTTTGACCCTTAGTAAGCTGGGCTGGTTCAAACTTCTCAAGTCTAACCATAAGCGGTTTATTTTTGACATATTTAAGTACAGCACAACTTTGTAAAAAAGTTTCCTTGTGACAGTTATCATAACAAAGGCATGACTACATCCAAACTCCTTTGCAAAGTACCTGTGATTCCTTCTGTAAGAATGGGTTGGGAGGAAGGATTTATGGTAAGCATAACAGTGAATTCTTTTGCAACGTACATGGGACCTTTCGTAAGAGTGGGCTCTATCGACTGAGAAACAGTGCTCAGGAGTCTGGGGGATTCGGGGAAAGCCTGGCTGTAGAGAATACGAGGTTATTAGCTACACCCTCACCCAGGCTTCTGGGTGGAAAATGGGTGTAAATCCCCTTTGTTGAAGGACAGGCCTGTGAGCATCCCTGCTCTCTCCAGCACTCATCCGAGAGCCTGCGGACCTCACGCCCTCCAGACCTTCTGAGCACCTCTCCTGTCCCCTCACTTGCCCCTCCCGGGTAAACTCAGGGTGTGTTCAGTAACCCTCGAGGCTCCTGAGAGGGTCTTCCCCGTGCTTTGTGGTAGGCATGGTAGAATAAGGGCTGACTGCTCCCTTAGGACAACAGTCATGTTTTGAGGGAAAGCTGCCACTGGGAGAATATTCAGGAACACAGAGGTGATGGGAAACCATCATCTGCCCTGCTGTGGGCAGGGTTCAGAACTCTTCCTGCGGTTCTGATGCACTTGGGATGAGGGTGTTGCTTAAGAGAAGGGCGCTTGTTTGGGAGCTGGAGCAGCCAGCAGCGTGCAGAGGCTTTCAGAACCTGGCTGTGCACACCTGGAATCTGACCCGCTGTCCATTATGCCACCGTGCTGTTTCCTACGCGACGAATAAAGGCAGATCTTGGTCTGTTTCTTATGTCATTTAGAGTCCTGGTCTGCCTCCTTGTCCCTGTGCCATGTGGGACTTTAAATGATCAGCTTGAGAAAAATAATAGTTTTGAAATCAGTTTGAGACAGTGATTTACAAGGGTCACAGAGCCAATGTGCAAAGAGATTTGGCCATGTAAAGCCCTCAGCAGAGCCAGTCAAAGAGAGGTTGGGGATGGCCTACCACCCATCTTTTGTGACTCTGAGGGGAGGCTTTTAATATGAGGGTTCAGTGCATCATGGTCCCAAGAGATGAAGGACAGAGCCTGTGCCGCCCAACCCTGCCTTCCCCATATATGATTGTCATCCAGTTTCTCCTTGGAAAGATGCTGATCCCCCAAGACATTCCAACTACCAGCCCCCTGGCTGTGTGGCCAGCCTGCTTACTACTCTAAACAGACCATCTGCAATCAGCTTAGTTAATGTGGTCCATTTATTACTAGGTGGTGCTAATCTCTTCTCTATGCTGCTTTATTGAGGGATAAATTATTTTTTTCTTCATGTTAAATGTTGATATTTAAAATACTGGGATTTTGTTTTATTTTTGTTGTTGTTTTATCTTTGTTGTTGCTTTGTTTTGAGACAGGGTTTCTCTGTATAGTTCCTGGAACTACTCTGTACACCAGGCTGGCCTCAAACTCACAGAGATTCACCTGCCTCTGTCTCCAGAGTTATGGGATTAAAGGTGAGCACCGCCACCACCACCCAAGCATTGATACTGAAAATCCTGTTTTGTCTCAGTTACTGTTTCTAAGCCAGTGTGTTTGTGATAAACACAGGTTATGGAATTGCTTCTGTGTGTGTTATTATACACCTTCAGCTTGTTGGTGAGTACTGTTGGCACATGGGCAAAACAGTTTATGAGCAAATACTGAATCTGAGTTGAACCTATGACTCTCTGAGTCAAAATTTAGCTTTATTTCTTTTCATCCAGACTAAATGCACCTGCAGCTCAGTGGTAAAATGTTTTCAATCCCAGTAAGGGGCAGGAGAACCACATCCAACGTACTTGAAGGACTACAGTTGTATGAACAAGCATGCTGCTGTCTAGCTCCATGACAAAGACGGAAGACATCTACACCTTAGAGTATGGTTTCACCAAAGGCATACTCAAAGGTGTTGCTCTGATCAAGCTGTTTCCCCACAGTGTGTTTACACAGTGGGTTTACACAATGCATTTCTGCAGTTAGAGCAAGAAAAGGATCAAGGGAGGTGCTCAGTGGGTAAAGTTCTGGCTATGCAAGTGTGAGACCCTGAACCCATTTAGAGGCTTAAAAGTGCAGTGCATGCATCTAGAACTCCAAGGCTGCGGCTGGGTGGAGACCTGTGCTCATTGGTTAGCCAGCCTGACTAAATCACTAGGGGACCCTTTTATTTTTCAAAAGTTAAAGTGGAGAGCAATTAAGAACACACCCAATGTTAACCTCTGGTCAAAGTACAGACACACTGTGCAGATAATCACACACATACACACATACACAAAGGAAGGAGTAGAGATTTTACAACTTACCTAGGTATTTGTTGCCACACAGAAAAATGTCTTCCATGCTGTAAACAAACCTGTTTTTGCCTTTCTGAAAGACTGATTTGAAGCATAAACACCCATAAGAGATGGTTTAGTGTAGTCCTCTTGGCTCGAGGAAATTATTGGTTCATGTCTTCCCCAGTCTGAGCACACTCAGCCTGACGATGCGTGAGTTGAGGAAGGGTTTACCCGAAAGCATGAGTTTACTTTGCCCTATTTCCTCTCCCACAGGGGCACACAGAAGGGGAAGTGTGGGGGCTGGCAGCACACCCTCTCCTGCCTATCTGTGCAACGGTAAGCGATGACAAAACCCTGCGGATCTGGGAACTATCCTCCCAGCACCGGATGCTGGCAGTACGGAAACTTAAGAAAGGTACACGCATCTCTTTACATCACAAAGGCAATAGACCATATTGGACTCACTCATTCATCAACTACTGTGGAATAAGAGCACCTATTACACACCCCAAAAGTATCCTAAGCAAGGAAACTCAGAGTTAGCCATGCAGTTAAACCTAGGAGTGCATAGAGATTTCCCGGAAGCTGTTTGGACCTCGGAGTGCTCCAACATTTTGCGTGTACAGCACAGGTCTAGCCCCTGGGGCTGTATCCTTCCTCACTGAGAGCTGAAATGCATCAACTTATAAAATAAGACGAATGAATAAAACTATTCTATCTCTGTGACTAACAGTTTGATAGACAAAAATAGTTGACATCACAAATGTGTGTTGGACATCTGCATGTGGTAAGTTCCACAGGAAGGATCAGTTCAGCAAAGGCTTCTATATGTCAGACGCTAAGGAGCCCACAGAGATTTGAAAGGAGTCCCAGCGGCAGCTGGCTGCTTACTTGGGTAATCTGAGAAGAGTCTAAAAACAGGACTCTTTGTAAAGGGGTAGGCAGGGTAGAAATGGCCAGGAATAGTACGCTGCTCCGCACTATAAGTGCAGGTGCCATTGCCAGGCCTGGATTTGAACAGACAAAAGGACAAGCGGCTGGTGGAACTGGGCATGACGAGTGTGAGAGGGACTTACAGACGGGGCTGCAGGAGCGAACACTCCAGCCCCCTTGTCCTCCACCTTCTTGGCCAAACCCACCCAACACCAGGGGACCGGGAAGCTCCTGACTCCTGCACTCAGACCAGCTTCAGGCAGACAGATGGAAATGGGTGAAGGGTAGAATGGCCATCCCGTGGGGACAAGAGACATGTAAGCTAAGCTCAGACCCACCACCTGGACTTCTTTCTTAGGAGGAAACAAGGGAACTGAACCTCGTGGTCACAAAAATTCTTAAGGCAGGAAAGGCTGAGCCCTGGCCCTTCAGTATTTGTGCTGAATCATTCTGTAGACGGGAAAGTCTAAAGGAATCATGTAAAATGAGAGCACAGAGCTGGTAGTAACCGCTGTGAGCCAGAGACCGTGCGGCCGGGTCTTTTACTCTGCAGAGACCCAGTGAACCAGGCTGTCTATCGTTCTCATCACTTCCAGGTTAGGAAATGGACACAGGTTACTGTACTGGTTTGTCCAAGGTCATCTAACTAATAAATACTGAAACTGGATGCACATTGCCCCATGATGGTCTCACAGAACAACCTGTGCCCTGGTTGTCACTGTCTCTTCACATTGCCTCACTTTTCCCTGGATACCTACAAGTTGGTTGATGGTGGAGCAAGGATTTCAACCAAGTCCAAAGCCATGCTCTGAACAATCGAATCATCTGCCCACTAACTTGCTTTGGTGAAATGAAACTAGGACCTTGTTGTGGACGCTAGTCAATGGACTTTAGTCCCTAGGTTAAAAATTAGTTCAAAAGAGCAACGATTGCCCTTAGATGGCAATTCAACCCAGTTTCCCTTGCTATCCTGGTGTACTTATTAACATCTCTCCTTTCATCCTAAAACATGGTCCACTTTGTACAGTAATTGTGGTTCACCCCACCCTGATGATGCTCCCTATGGCCAGCTAGTCTTTGTGGTTCACCCCACCCTGATGATGCTCCCTGTGGCCAGCTAGTCTTTGCATTGTCTCACTACCAGCAGCGTGACTGACTCAGGTGAATAAAGGACAAACAAATGGAGATACTATTTACATAGCCAATTCAAAGTTACTAGTATGAAAACCGCTTTTAACATCCGTCAGCATGGGTCCCTGCAGAAGCTGGACTGAGCTGCCTCAGCACAAGGCAGCATGGGTGGGCTGTAACAACCAGCGGTTCCCTCCTCTTGATTGGGCAGTATGATCCACAAAGCAGAGAAGTTAAAATTATGAGGGGCTTTCTTTTAAAAATGTGGATTTTAGTCATAATTTCCCAAAAATGGTTTCTGGAAGTTTTGTTGGAGAACTTGTGTTCTTGAATGTTTCCTCTTTTCTCAGAAGATAATGTTCTCTACTAGTCTTCTCTTGTACCCTACCTACCTCAAAAGGCCCAGATACTCCAAGATAAAGAAATGAATAAATAAACTCTATGTAAATAAAAACTTTATTTTTAAGATTGATTTTTTTTTATTATGTGTATCTGTGTGTCTGTGTGCAGGCATATACATATGCATGTAGGTGCCCACATAAGAAGGTATCTGACTCCCCAAAGCCAACTGATGTGGGTGTTGGGAACCAGACTGAGGTCCTCTGCAAGAGCAATGAGTTAACCTCTGAGTCATTTCTCCAGCTCTAAAAGTATGATTTTGATAGTATGTGGGATATAAATTTTGATATTTTTCACAGATTTAAAATGTATATTTAGTATGTTATATGTACACACATACACAGGAAGACTTGAGATGACTCTTGGGAGTTTGTGCTCTCCTTCTACCATGGGTTCCCAGGTTCAAGCTCAGGTTGTCAGGCTTGTACATATAAAAATGCTTTTACCCACAGAACTATCTCACTAATCCCCAAATGATGAGATTTGAATTCTCATCCAGGCAGTGCAAAAGGCCCAGTCACACATGAACATGTGATTCGCAGTCCACATTTCTCCCACGTCTCCATCTGCTTTGTTCAACAGCAAAGCATTCAGCCATGATTTTCTTGGATCCATTTGTAGGAGGAAGATGCTGTGCCTTCTCCCCTGATGGGAAAGCCTTAGCAGTTGGCTTGAATGATGGAAGTTTCTTGGTGGTAAATGCTGATACTGTGGAAGACATGGTCTCCTTTCATCACAGAAAAGAAATGATCTCTGACATTAAATTTTCAAAAGGTGAGTCATTCAGTGGTAGTGCATGCCTTTAATCCCAGCATTCATGAGACAGAGGTAAGCAGATCTCTGTGAGTTCAAGGCCAGCCTGGTCTACAGAGTAAACTACAGGACAACCAGGACTGCTACACAGAGAAACCCTATCTCGAAAAAAATAAAATTCAAAAGGTGAAGATGGTAATAGATACCTTTAAAAATAGTAATCTCGAGACAACATTTTTTCATAAGAATGGACTGTTCTAAAAGTTTCTTTGACCTTTCTCCCACTTCAAAATCTTAAATTCCTGGAGGTGAATCTCTCCATCAAATGTATTGCTGTTTCTGTAAACTTGTCTCTATAGACACAGGAAAATATCTTGCGGTGGCATCCCATGATAACTTCGTGGATATTTACAACGTACTCACAAGCAAGAGGGTTGGCATCTGTAAAGGAGCTTCCAGCTACATCACACACATTGACTGGGACTCCAGAGGTAAAGTAGGCTGTGGTTTTAAGATAAATCTGATATTAAAGGAGGGCCCATGGCAGCATATGAGGCTAAGTCGACAACCCAGGAGCAGCGGCTGTTAACACTCTGAGTGTTTTCCTGTTCTGTCAAGGTGGTTATTAATTGAAGCCATTGGGGCTTAAGATGAAGAAAACATGTGACCCTGAGTTGGGTTTCATCTGATCTGTTCTTGCTTTTCTATTCAGCCTCCCTGACCAAGACTCTATCTCCAGGAGTTCAACCCCTGAAGTCTCAAGCAATGTTCATCTATCAGATACAGAAATCCATGTTTAGCTCTCTTGAATTTGTCTTTGGTCTCAAAGTGCCTAGCCCCCCTTTGCTTCCTCCAAGTTACTTCCACAAAACCATGAATATTTGTCTATTTAATACATCTAGCCATTTGCAAAGTCTTACGACAGAAAGTATGGACCTAGAAGTAAGGCATGGCTCCTACTCTTTGTGAAAGTTATAGTTTAGGGAGGAAGATGACTTGTTCTTAAAGAAAATGTGATGATGCAGACATGAGGTGAGAAGCTGTGAGTCTTAGAGGAAGTAGTGAGAAGGCTCAGGATGGGCCATGTCAGTATGGGGGTGGACCGTGCAATACAGGGGCTTACTGTTGGATCCTGGAGACTTGATTCATGTTAGCCTGGAAAGCGTTTAGGAGTGGGCAGGATCCTCATTTGCAAAGAAATCATAGTCTGCTGTGGTAGAAAAGTGCAGTGTGTGGTCTGAGAGAGCTCCAAGGGAAATCCAAGATACCGTCATAGGCACGGGTCACCGGCAAGCAAGGGATGTGTCCGGGGCCTAGGAACTCGGCGTGCAGAGCCGAGAACTGAGAAGCGGTGAGCACTGCTTGGCTTAGCAATGGAGGAGGGAGTCTGGAAAGTCTGACCAGGACAGAGCCAGAGGAACCTTCCATCATGCTAGATCACACAGAATTCTGTTCTGGGGAAATCAGGGAACTCCAGGTCGTTTTGAGTGGGGCATTCCCCAAAGCAACTAATAAAATTGGAGGAAGCTGGCAAGGTCTCAGCCAGGAAGAGGTTTCAAGTATTTTTTGGGATTGTGGTAGACTGGGCCTGGCAGCTGTTCAGCTCTGTCTGGATTTACTGCTCTGTAATCTGAACTTTATTTGAGCTTTATGGCCTTCAGGAGTTTTGTACAGTAGATGGAAAGGAAAACATGGGACTTATTGTAAAAGGTGTAGTCCCAATGAGGGCAGAGGGAAATCAGATAAATTCCTGACGTCCAGGGCAGGGCCGTGCCAGACAGGCAGAGGCAAGGGCATGCGATGGGATTTGTGGGTCACCTAGCGTTGGTGAGGCCAAGGGTGAGTGGGAACAGCTGCCTCTCACCACCTACTTTCCTATATTCTCTGCTCCACCGTTTTAAGAACTCAGGAAGGCTATGATTGTCTCTATTCCTCCTTCCCTATGTGTGATAGGGTTAGACTGTTCAGAGCCCACCACACACAGCCACAGCACTTGACATAAGGGATGAAATATCCCCTCTGCCATCACTATTAGGAGCATAAAACCCACAAGTAGTTTTATTTTGGAAGTGAAGACCCAACAGAAAAATGTGATATGGGAAGTTTTGATTTGGAAGGTTTTAAATGGAAAATATATAAACATTTTACCATTATTAAATATGCCAGGTCAAGCATGGAGTATATTCTCATTGTTGTATGGCCATTATCATTACCCACCTCCAGAACTCACTTCATCTTGTAGGACTAGAACTCCTGTCTGAAAAAGAAAAAACAAAAAAGAAAAACACAGAACTAGAAATCTATACCCAGAAAATGATAGCTCTCTTGTAAGCTCCTAGAGACTTCTCCATGCACCTCATCTTAGTAAAGTCCCCGTGTTGTATTTTTGTTCCTAGCTCATTTCCTTCCACATGTTGTTCCCGGGGATCACCCATATTGTGGCCTGCATCTGAATCCCCTTCCTAAGGCAGGTGATAGCTCACTGCGTCTATCCCACATTTTGCTTGCCTGTTGATACACAGCTGGCTGCCTGGTGTACTCACACTAGCTATTGTGAACAATGCTGTTGTGAATCTGGGTGCACAAGTGTCCTTCCAAGCCCCTGTCATCAATGCCTGGGTATTACCCAGGGGTAGAGGTAGTTAGGTCTGTTGGCAATGTTTTAGAAACCTTTGCAGTACTCATGGAAGCGGCTCCACTTTGCCTTCTTAACAGCAGCAGTATACAAGGGCTCCCGTCATCCACACCCTTCTTAATACTTGAATTTTCTCTGTGCGGCTAGTAACTGTCTTAACAGACACAAGCTGGTGTCACACTGTGGTTTGCATTTATATTTGGAGAGTTGGCTTCATTTTGTTTTTGCAAGTGTATGAGCCTTACATCGAATGCTGGAGACGGAAGAGGAAAAGGCCAGGGCAGAAAACCCAAGATCTTTGTAGCCAGGATAGGGTTGTTACTAAGGAGTAGGGGAGAGCTCAATCTATGTAAAGTGACTCAGAGTGGAGACATCACCGGGTGGGGAGAGGGGCAATACCTTACAGTCCTCTGTTCTACCCAAGGCCAGCCCCCAAGACTGGGAGGCACTCACTCAGAATAAGAGGAGGAAGAGGTCAGGGTTTTTGAAGAACCAACTGACTGTGTTTTCCAAAAGGAACTTCAATAGAAGGTGTCAGACCCGGTGGTCCTATGCTTAAGATCATAGTAGCTGGATGAATTTGTATATCCAGCTACACAAAAATTGAGAAAGAATGTGGTTGTATGAAATAATGTGCACAGAGCTTTTATTATCATTATCCCTTAAATATTCAGTATGATAACAATTTCACACAGTACTTATTCTATACTAGTAATATAGTAGCATAATACATACTACACTATATATACTAATAACACTAATATAATACATTCACATATTGCATATTAATTATATAGCAATATAGTAGTACACAGCAATATAGAGGATCATAAAAATGTATTGGAGGATATGCAGAATTATATGCAAGTGTTGGCTATCCTGTTTTATGAGGGACTTGAGTATGTTGGTATCTGCTGAGCATCCTGAAACTTTGGGATGCTGAGAAACAAGCACTGTGGATCATGTGGTGATGTAATACAGGGGAAATTGTTTATATGGTCCAACAGTCATTCATCCTTTCTACTATAAGGCATTTTTAACAGCTCTGGCAACGTATTTGCAAATTAATGTTGATGTAGAGCAGATCTAGCCTCAAGACAGGCTTGGTTTCTACCACATGTTGTCTTATTATTAAAATTTTTATTACATTTTTAAAAAAGAGCATAGTAAAAAACTTGTGTTTTTTAAAGTCTAAACCATCTTGAGAATGGGAACAGGTGCACCCATGCCTTTTGCCTAGTTTAACTACAGTCCCATCAGCTGTCAACTATCTGTCATCCAGATATCCTGAATTCCAAAGTGCTATATCTCAGGAATGTGCCATGCTCCCTCACAACCAGCCTAGCTTTTCATTGCAGAGGCCTTGAGAGCGTGGAAGGGGTAAAGAGAGACATTGAGATGCAGGGGTTTGTTTGTCAGGGCCAGCTGGCTCACCAGGGTGGTGGATGATGTAGGGGCAGGCACAGCCTCAGCCTTAGCCTCAGCAGCCTTCGTGACCATGGCAACGGCAGGCTCATTTGCTTTTTCAGGAACATCAGTTCCCCAGATGAAGGAAGACTCATGCATGGGATGCTAGAAAAAAGAATACATGGGGAGAGGGAAAACACGGTATTTGTAGTAGACAGTGAAAGTTCATTTCTGAAAATAGTAGGATCACATGCTCCTTAGCCAATCAACAACTGGAGCCTTCACAAGACATTTCATTTCTATTTTCACTTCAAATGGCCTGACAAGTTTGAAAGCACAATTCTGGAATCACCCTGATTGTAAGATGTGTGCCAACTGGGCCAAAGCATGTGGCTTTTGCTGTGTGTGATTGGCTATCTTTCCTTAGCAGTGAGGACAGGGTTTTGTTTGTTTGGGTGTTTTTTTTTTTTTTCTGTGTGAGCAGACTCTTCTAGTGGTAACAATATTGAATTCTGAAGGAAATCAGTTTCTATTATTTGGGATCAATAATATATAGATGGCACAGACTTTTTGTTTTTGCTTCTGGTCGATATCCTCAGATTTCAGTGTGTGTGTGTGTGTGTGTGTGTGTGTACATGTACTTGGGAGCAGAGATAAGAAGAGAAAGCAAAGACAGAGACTGCACAGTGGGCAGAGGGAGAGAAACGATGGTGACCTAAATATTTCCACCTTGTAATAATTAAAAGGGAGAAAACACATGCCCATAATTATGGCTTCCTTAAACACAAAAATAGTTGTTTTTAGTTCACAGTCTGTCTTTCAAGGAACAGAAACCCATTCAAACTAGCTGAGATTTCAAAATAATGATGAAGGATGAGTTCATTGGAAAGGTCTAGAATGCTTCATAGCCTTCAAACAGCAGGAAGCAATACCTAAAGACCTGGCTTTAAGAATGCACTGTAAAGCCGGGCGTTGGTGGCGCACACCTTTAATCCCAGCACTCGGGAGGCAGAGGCAGGCGGATCTCTGTGAGTTCAAGGCCAGCCTGGTCTACAAAGTGAGTTCCAGGAAAGCCTCCAAAGTCACAGAGAAACCCTGTCTCGAAAAAACCAAAAAAAAAAAAAAAAAAAGAAAGAAATCACTGTAAGCCACTCATTGTGGCACACTCCTTTAATCCCAGCACTCTAGAAGCAGAGGCAGGCAGATCTCTGTGAGTTCAAGGCCAACCTGGGCTCAGACTAAGTTCCAGGACAGCCAGGGCTACACAGGATTTTTTTTCTGAATCCTGTCTCAAAAAGAGGAGAGAGAGAGAGAGAGAGAGAGAGAGAGAGAGAGAGAGAGAGAGAGAGAGAGAGAGAGAGAGAGAGAGAGAGAGAGAGAGAGAGAGAGAGAGAGAGAGAGAGAGAGAGAGAGAGAGAGAGAGAGAGAGAGAGAGAGAGAGAGAGAGAGAGAGAGAGAGAGAGAGAGAGAGAGAGAGAGAGAGAGAGAGAGAGAGAGAGAGAGAGAGAGAGAGAGAGAGAGAGAGAAGAGAGAGAGAGAGAGAGAGAGAGAGAGAGAGAGAAAGAGAGAGAGAGAGAGAGAGAGAAAGAGAGAGAGAGAGAGAGAGAGAGAGAGAGAGAGAGAGAGAGAGAGAGAGAGAGAGAGAGAGAGAGAGAGAGAGAGAGAGAGAGAGAGAGAGAGAGAGAGAGAGAGAGAGAGAGAGACTGGGAACTTCTGAGACATGAACCAAGCAGTTCCTCTCTGCTTTCCTGCTCCGGGCAGCTGATCAAGCCCGGTGCTCCTGCGTGTACTTTGCCCCCTGTAAACACAAACCTTCCCTAACTCAGTTGCACACCGTCCAGTCTTGGTTGCCCTCCAATGCCAGTCTCAGCTCCAAAGTCTACATCTTATCCTAGCTGGGCACCCACTCAGTGCCAGCTTTCTGGGAGAGACAATTTTTGATTGCCTAGCCCAGTGTGGGCCTGGGCCTTCTTGGGTCAACTTCTGTCACCAGAGTTAAACTTGCTTGAGTCGAGGGGGTTCTCCGGGAAGAGCAGGTCAGCTGAGTGTCTGGTGTTGCCTGGCACTTCTTGTGTTGTCTCCCTTGAGTCCCTAACACCCATGCAGTCTGTTTCTCACCTAGATAGCGCAATATTTAATTGTGAAATATGATCTTTAAAACCGTACTTGGTAAAGAGAGTTGTTGTAAGGATGTGAGACTTACAATTCTGAGGTTTCTAGTATTATAATTCAAGAGTTGTCAAGGAATGACTGCATTCAGAAAATGTATTGCCTGAAACTTTTCATCTCTTTCCACATATTTTACAGTCACTTTTGAAAGTCATAATAACATACTTTCTTTGCAGATATATTTAGTTTGTTAGAAAAGTAATGATTGTTCACTTCTTGCTGCACAACACCAAATAATCACCTAAATCCCCTCATTTCTTTCTTTGCTTTTGTCCGTTTGTACATGTTTAGCCATAAAACCTGCAAAGTATGTCTATCTCAGAGACCCCTCTTTCAGATCCCTCCAGTCCTCATCGCCTAGGCAACCCACCCCAGTCATGTGATACCTTACCAAGTCAGAAACTATTAAATGAGCAGTTAAGAGCCTGGAGAACCTTGTTTCTTAACTCATCACTTGGAAACACCTACTCAGACCTTTAGGTTTCAGACCAAGTAATAAATGTCACGGATAGCATGTGAAGCACAAAGAAATCTTGGGGTATTGCTTTTCTCCCAAGAGCATCTCAGAGCTCCTAGAGACACAGTTGTGGGGGGAAAGGGGAAATAGCTCTTTATGTAAATTGTTTACAGATCAAATGCCTGCTGTCTGGGCTGAGGTAGTCAGCAAAGGGCCCTGAGCCAAGTGCGTTCCTGGGAGCTGTACCTGTATTCCCATGTCCAAGCCCAACTGAAATTTCCAGAATTAAACCATTGCAAAAAATAGTAGACACCATACTCCAACACATAAGAACTTTCTATCGTAAATGATTGCTGCTTTTGGAGGAGAAGATCTAGAAATTGAATCTTTTTCAACATCAGTTACAGTGAATGAGACCATAGTTGTATATCCTGATGGCTGAAAAGCTAATCACTTGACATTTTGTTTGAGGATCGACTCTTTTCTCCTTTTGAGATCTTCAGCTAAGACAAGGTCGGGAGGGTCAGTATTTGTAGTTTGCAAATGCAACTCTCACAAGAATCCCACTTTCGATGCCAGAACACTTTGCCTTTACCTCATCAACACAGTAGACAGCAGTGGGGAAAAGGAGTAAAACTTTTTTTCTTTTTAGGGCTTGGGGAATCATAGCTCATTTTAGTGCTGCTAAACAAAAGACCAGCCTCAATCCTTGAGTTATGTGACAGATACTTAAGGTCAAATTTTATGAGGTTCGTATTTTTAAATTAGAGCTTTAGGCATTAACCCATGTAGTGTGATACTTATGTGCTTTTTGGAATAATGTAACATACATTTAATGCAATTTATGAGACTAATGAAAATAAAATCATGGCAATCATGCTTAGCATTTTATAACAAAATAATAAATGCACAGTTTAATTCACTCTCTTGTTTCTACCATAACAGGGAAATTGTTGCAAGTTAATTCAGGTGCCAAAGAACAACTTTTCTTTGAAGCTCCAAGAGGCAGAAGACATATAATAAGGCCCTCAGAGGTAATAGTCCTACATAAAGATTTTAAAAAATATTTGGGGCCGGAGGAGATGGCTCAGCAGTTAAGAGCACTGACTGTTCTTACAGAGGACCTAGGTTCAATTCCCAGCACCCACATGTTAGCTCACACCTGTCTGTGACTCCAGCTCCAGGACTTGTGACTCCCTCACACAGCTGTGCATGCAGGCAAACACCAATGTGCATAAAACAAAAATCAATTATAGATTTAAAAAGAGATATTTAGCATTGGTTGAAAATATGCGTTCTAATATACCTATTAATCTGAATTATGAACAGAGGTCACCATCTACCTTTAGGTTTTTAATTTCTTCACTGTAAACCATTAATCAGTTTTCCTAATCTCCAAGGACAAAGGCTAGCTGTGTCACTGACATTGTGATGGCATTGTACTCAGCTTTGTTTCCTGAGGACACTGAATATGCTGACAAACTGGATGGCCATGCTACCTTTTCCATTTATCATGCCGTTTTGTGCAATGTTGTTTTATGAATGTAATTTTTTAGATATTTTCTCAGGGTTCATTTGTAATAATGGTAATAGAAGAAACTTTCTGAAACGGAAGTCCAACCAGTCCAGTGTCAAACTTTTCTTTTCCCCGTGTTTTCCCCATGCCCTTCACCCCACATGTAATAACTGAGATAAACCTATGAAAAACTTAGAACCTGGTACCTGCTGCTAAGGCTGGCCATCTAAGTTCAATCCTCAGTAACCATAGAGTGGAAGGAGAGTACCGACCCCCCTATATACACCGGCTCACACATATATATGCAAAAAAATCTTTTTTAAAAAAATCTACCAGCCCAGTAGTTCTTAGCCAGAAGTAGTTTGCCCTCAGGAACATTTATTCATGTCTATGGAGAAGGGCAATATTGGCATCCAAGGGGTGAAGACCAGCATTGCTGTTAAACATGGCTATCTGCACAGACTGTTACCCGAGGCAATGAACCATCCAGCATAACGTGTCAGTGCCGGGCTGAAAATAGCTGATCTAGTTCATAGATTATCCAGTGATTAAAAATTAAAATCTTAAAAACCTCTATTGTGATCAGGGTTCCAAAATTGCAAAGTATGCTTTTGGTCTAGAAGAAATGTTCACGTGTATCTGACTGCAGTATTGGCTTGTTGAGAAATGACAATACCTCTTTGTCACTCAGTCACTCAGTTGCTGGGTGCAATGCTTGGGCTGCAGACTGAAACCCTGTATCATAAAAAAGAGCAAGTCATGGCAGCTCAGGAGTGGGGCTCAGCGCCCACCTCAAACGTCTGCCATTGGAAAGCTCGTCATCTACAACTACTCATTTGAAAACTCATGTCTCTTACATGAAACAAAATGGTCACACTCTTTTGTCCTCCTGCAGATTGAGAAGATAGAATGGGACACATGGACGTGTGTCCTGGGGCCCACCTGCGAAGGAATCTGGCCAGCACACAGCGACGTGACGGATGTCAATGCTGCCAGTCTTACTAAAGATGGCTCCCTCTTAGCCACTGGGGATGATTTTGGTTTTGTTAAGCTTTTTTCATATCCAGTCAAGGTAATATTACATGTTTGCTATAGATTTGATCTGTTTCATTAATTACCCTAAATCTGTTACACCTGAGTGGATTTTTTAATTATTATGATTTGAATGCATGGGCAGTCAGGAGTGGCATTTATTACTTTTGTAATGCTGTGTAAAAACCTCCCTGCTACTGTTTGTAAGCAAATGACTTAAGGGAAATTCTCATGACACAGAGGTCCCCAAACTCTACTTGTATGAACCTTCATGCTGTTTTTCATAGTGCTGTGCCAATTTGCATTTTCACCAACAGTATCTTAGCATTTACATCAGTGTCCTTTTTCCTCCACACCCTCCCGAACACTTGTTCTTTTGTTTTCTGGGTACCAGTTGTCCTAACATATGTGATGATATCGCATTATGGTTTCAATTTGCATTCCGTTGGTAAGTGAGGTTGGGTGGCTTTTCATACCCCCATTTCCCATTTCTATGTCAGTATTTTGTTTGTTTTATTTTTTTTGTTTTTACAGAAATGTCGGCTCACCTCCTTTGCTGTCCATCTGCCCCCCCCTCTGTGTATGTGTGTGTGTGTGTGTGTCTGTCTGTCTGTCTGTCTGTCTGTGTCTATCTATCTGGTTTATTTTTATTATTTTAAAGATTATGTGTGTACAAGTGCCCTTGGAGTCCAGAAAGGGGCCTCAGATCCCTGGAACTGGAGTACAGGTGGTTTGAGTGCCTAACACGGGTGCTAGGGATCAAACTGCAGTCCACTGGAAGAGCAGAAGGCACTTTTAACTCTTAAGCCTGTTCTTAACCTCACCCCACTGCCCATACATATCAGGCTGGCCTTGAATTTACTGTGTTCCTCTGCTTCTGCCTTCAAAGTATTGGTATTGTAAGTCTCTACCACCATACCTAGTTCCCCCAATTTTTTTATTTAGCTTTTCTAGCTCACTTCCCTTACCCAATTGGTGGGCACTATGTGGATGAGTACAGTTGCCCCCCAACTATACTCTTGATCAGATTCACTGTTAACTGAATGTATCCTCGCTGCAAACCCAACAGAGCCCTAACTCCTCTGTGAGGGTGTATGGAGAGAGGAGCTGTACAGAAGTAAGTCTGAGTGGGTTTGTAAGTGTGCAGCACTGGTCTGACAGAGTTCTGACAGAGCCACGCCTGGTGGCACGCACCTTTAATCCCAACACTCGGGAGGCAGAGGCAGCTGGGTCTCTTAGTTCAAGGCCAGCCTGGTCTACATTGCAAGTTCCAGGACAATCAGGACTGTTACAGAGAAACCCTATCTCGAAAAAACAAAATAAATAAATAAAAGAGACACCAAATTCATATGCAGTGTTGCATTTCTGTAATCCCAGCACTTGACAGACTGGCATGAAGTGTCCTAAGTGTGAGGTTAGCCTGGGCTATACAATTAAACCCTGCTTCAGAGAAGAGATGCACGAAGTTATTATTCCTGCCATACAACACTCTCCCTGTATCTAAGATGCAAGCTTCATTTGTTAGCCACTATATCTTCAATTGTCTTCTTGGTCATTTTGCCCATTGTTTTTTCCCTAGTTACTAAGCACATCTCCCAGGCATTATTCTTCACTTGGCAAACATATCCCTACTGTATTCACTTTCATAGTCCCAAGTCTTCTTTGCAGAAATGTCTATTTGGATCTTTTGTTTAATTTTAGTTTCTTTCTCTTCCGTTTTTGAAGATTTATTTTTACCATTTTTTAAAAGATGTGTATGTATGGATGTGAGTGGGTGGGTGCATGTACAAGAGTGCAGGTGCCTTCAGAGGCCAGAGGGGGTATTAGAACTTGGCACACAGAGAGCTGGAGGCCTTGGAGATACTGACTGCCTATTGGCTTCCCTGGTATTCCTACTCTTCAGGCTGTCTTGAGAACTGGTTGGTTTCCAGTGACCAGAAGGGGTCAGAGAGATCAGCAGATCCAGAGAGCTGCAGGACTGCAGTCCCAAGCACCTGCCCCTGTTTCCTGCCATGAGTCTATGTTTCAGGCTTCCCAGGCCACCAGCCCAAAGCCTGTGTTTTGTACCAACGTCTTATCTGGCACACCAGTGGCTGGCTCCTGACCCAGGAGTTCATGTGGCTTACCACATTGCATAAGGCACTCCCTAGGAACCCCTGAGAGGATGGGAAAACTGCCTGTTTAAGTAGCTTCCATGGGAGCTCTTTCTGTGTTTCATGAACTAGGAGCCAATGCTGGCTTCCCAGCACTTGTCAGGACAACCCTGGGGACAGGCACAGGCATGCGCCACCCTCCACCCCTCAGCTCCTGCTGATATAGTGGTGCAGCGTGAACACCCCACTCCAAAAGCTTCCAGTAATGACTTGAAAACCGGATTTATATATTTAGATGTGTTTAGTGGAAAGGAGTTTGCTTTACAAGAGTTACACGAGTTCTTTGAGTGGCTTCTGCTTCCCAGCATTCGTGGGAGAACTGCTACAACATTTGTTTTAGACATTACTTGAGAGCCCTTGCTTCCTTCTGTCCTTAATTCCCAAATGCACCTCAAAAATACATATTGAAGACCTATTGTCGGCCAAGCGCTGTCTTACGGAATACCAGCCCTGCCTGCACAGAATATGCATTCTCGTGATACTAGCAAAATTTCTGCTCTGAACTGTTTCATTACATCCTACATAAGAGGAAAAGTAACAGGAGTAGTAGGTGCTGACTGGTAACTGCTAGTTTCTGACTTTTACCTGCAGGGACAGCATGCACGATTCAAGAAGTACGTGGGACACAGTGCACACGTCACCAACGTCAGGTGGCTGCACAATGACTCTGTGCTGCTCACGGTAGGAGGTGCCGACACAGCCCTGATGATCTGGACCAGGGAATTTGTGGGGACCCAGGAAAGCAAGCTGGTTGATAGTGAGGAGTCAGATACAGATGCAGAGGAAGATGGAGGTGAGCCCCAACGAGCCATGTCCCTTCCCTTGTGATGGCACCTTTCTCTCTGGTCCTTCTCCCCAACACCTGAAAACCAGCTCATACCCCAGTCTCTTTCTGTTCGAGGCTATGACAGTGACGTTGCCAGAGAGAAGGCCATTGACTATACCACCAAGATCTATGCTGTGAGCATCAGGGAAATGGAAGGCACCAAACCACACCAGCAGCTAAAAGAGGTGTCCATGGAAGAAAGGTAAGGTGTTGGCAAGGTCTGTTTGCATTTGTGGTAGCTGACAAACCTGTTTGAACCAGAGAGCATTTCTTTGCCTTTGAATTTATACAGAAGTGAGACTTTAATTATTTGCCTAGAGTTTTAACCTATGCACATACTTAGATTCAGGAAACTGCCCAAAGCCCTCAGCACAAGCCGGGAGTTATCCACAGTTGTGCAGATTAGCTATGGTGTATGACTTGGACAGATAAGAAATTTGGCTTGTGGCTTTTGGAAACCTGTTCCCCATGCTAGATTACCTCACCCAGCCTTGATGCAGGGGGAGGAGCTCTGTCCTGCCTCAACTTGATGTGGCATGCTTTGTGCAAGCCGATGGGAGGCCTGCCCCTCTCTGAATGGAGATGGAGGAGGAGTGGATGGGGAAAGGGTAGCTGGGAGTTCAGGGGAGGGAGCAGAAAGAGAGGAGGGGAGGGAAACTGTGGTCAGTATGTAAAATAAATGAGAAAAAGTTAATAAAATCAAATTAAAAAAACAAATTTGGCTGGACTGGGTTTCCCTCAACTAGGGGAGGGAGCAGGAGAGCCTCAAGGGCCCTGAATGCATGACTAACAAGACAGCTTGCTGATGAGTAGCATGGGAGGGCAGACTTTTGAAGTGGGTTGAGGGACATGGTGGAGTGTCTTTCTGTGGTACTCTGTCGCTTGGCGTGTCTTCTCTTACTGTGACCTCGCTTGCCCTGCTCTGTGCAGGGGGGCTGGTGTTTGTAGACCTGACCGGTTTGATTTTGTCCCTGTGAATGCTGTCATAGATAGTGGACTCCTAATGCTATCTTGTACCTTTCTAATCTCAGTTTTAAGTATTGGCAAGAGAAATTGCCAAACTGTAATTTTAAAATGCAAGCTCATAGTTACATAATATTGAACACAGAAACATAAATATTGAATAAAAACTAGAATCCGAAGAGAGTCTCCCAGATCTGACCCAGACTGATGAATATTTAGAAAGTTCTTGGTGATCTTGTTTCCTTGAGGGAGGCTGGATGATCAGGGCTACCTCGACACCACACTGTATACTGAGATTCAAGGTTTTGCTTTTGAGGGAGCCTTCTGCCTAATGAAGCTGTGTGACCAACATGTTCCCTGCTGACTTAGGCACAGAGTTAGATCTGACCTCACTTTGGTTCAGTGAGAGATTGTGGGTTAGCTTGCTGAGTGGTGGGTGGGTGTGTTATTGGTGAAATGGATGCTGAAGCAGAAAAGCCCTAATTCTCCCCTTAAATCTTTATTACAAATTGCATGTTAATTCTCCCCCTTTGAGTCCTTACTACATGTTATTGTGCAAAGGAAACGTTTTCTTTTGCTTTAAAAAATTGATTTTTCTGTAATGATTTGAAAATTACAGTTTCTTGAGCTGGAGAGATTGCTCGGTGGTTAAGAGCACTAACTGCTCTTCTAGAGGATCTGTGTTCAATTCCTGGCACCCACATGGCAGCTACAACTATCTGTAATTCCAGTTCCAAGGAATCTGGCACCCTCACACAGACATACATGAAGACAAACACTGATGTATATAAAATAAAAATAAATTACTTTTAAAAATATAGTTATTTTTCTTAAAGTAACTACAAAGAGAAAATGATGTTAAAGGACTTAATTATAAGGGCTGAAGAAAGAAACATACACATAGGAATGCATGAATAGGCCTGCCACTTAACTGATCTACCCAGTATTTGGTCTGAGTTAAATCTTTTTAAAAATAAAGTATCCAGCCTCTCCGATTTCACATTCCATCATGAATGGAATTGGCTTGCCCATTATTCCAAGCGTGTTCAAGTTGGTTTATATAAAACTCAGTTTTATATCACACTGAAATTTAGACCCATCATTAAAATACAGGCACATAGCCACCGTCCCAACTGCCTGGTTCCATGTTTAATTTCAGGTGTGACCCACATATCATATAAGCACTCCTTGTCTTATTACCCTCTTTGTACAGCTCTATAAAAAGGCATCCAGTTTAGTATGAGGTGGGACATGAGGAGGTTAACAGTTTTCCATTTTAAGATTAAATTTTATGAACACAAATTATTTTCTTTATTTTTCCAGATTGAAGAGTTTTTGTTATATATTAGGGCACACTGAATTGAATCTTTATTTTTTAAAAACAGGAAAAATTACTTTGTAGAATTATAAGCAAGCATGTGTCTACTGTCACTTTAAAAAATAATTCACCATCTCACTCCTGTCAGAATGGCTAAAATCAAAAACACCAACGACAATTTATGCTGGAGAGGATGTGGTGAAAGGGGGACACTCCTCCATTGCTGGTGGGAGTGCCAACTGGTTCAGCCACTTTGGAAATCAGTATGGAGATTCCTCAGAAAAATGGGAATAAACCTACCACAAGACCCAGCAACTCCACTCTTAGGCATATATCCAAAAGATGCCCATTCATACAACAAAGATGTCTGTCCCACTATGTTCATAGCAGCATTATTTGTAATAGCCAGAACTTGGAAGCAACCTAGATGTCCCTCAACCAAAGAGTGGATAGAGAAAATGTGGTACATTTACACAATGGAGTACTGAGATTCGTAGGCAAATGGATGACACTAGAAGAAACCATCCTGAGTGAGGTAACCCAGTCACAAAAAGAGAAACATGGCATGTACTCTCTCATATATGGATTTTAGACATAGATCTGGGGAGTGCCAGCCTACAGTCCCATGGCCAGAGAGTCTGGGAAACAGAAACTTCATTTAGTGGCTGATCGAAGAAGAGGCAGACTCCCTCGGTTAAGTACTGAGCTGAACTCAAGAAAGCCAGTAACAGACAGGGAGGAATGATGACCAAAGAGATTAAGACTGGGCTGGTTTAACCCCCAGAAACAGCTGACCAGACAAAGGTTAACTCTTGAATCCCAGGCATTAGCCTGGGAAGCCAGCATGGGACTGATCAAGACCCCCCTGAATCTGGGTGTCAGTGAGGAGGCCTAGGTAATCTATTGAGCCTTGGGCAGCAGATCAGTACCCATCCCGAGTATACACACGGACTTTGGACTCCCATCCAACAATGTGAGGTGCACTCTCACCCTGAACTCTTGGGGAAGGGTCTAGGCCCTGCCCTATATGAAATGACAGACTACGGACACCCCCATGGAGGGCCTCACCCTCCCTGGGGAAATGAGGGGATAATGGGGGGCTGGGGGGAGGGCATGGGAAGAGGGGAGGGAAAGGGAGAGGGACCTGGAACTGACTTGTGAAGCAACCTTGTTTCTTATCTAAATTTAAACTGAAAAAAAAATCCTAAAATAAATAAGTTTAAAAAAAGAAAAAAATAATTCACCACCATTGAATGCAGTGAAGAAAGCATGTAGTAAAGAAAACCATTTTAAAGATAAGTACAGGGTCCATAGAAAAGATCAAGCCTTTTCTACAGACAGAGATTTCCTTGGTAACTTAAACAACCCTGACAGTCCCAGTTTGTAGAGGGCTTTTAACCAAAGAGACAATAGCAGCTGCATAGCATTCTGGGAGCAGAGTGTGCCCACACTAGCCAGGGTAACCAGTAAGCATGGAGAGAGAAAACCCGAACCTGAGCCCAGGACAAGCAGCCTCTCCCATCCTGGTCAGTGATTTTAGGGGACTGTGAACTTCGAAATTAAGAACAGGCAGTTCTAAGCACAGAAGAGAGAAGGGTCAGGCAAAATGAGTGATAGAATGTGGGATAGTGCTGAGCCCAGGAGCAAGGATGGGACCCTTGGCAATAAATCATGCATTACAACTTGGTCTTGAGGTGGAGGAGAAAGCAGATGTGGATGCTAGCCTCCTAGGGAAGATGGGGGTCAGAATAGTGAGTTGGTGCCTCCTGTATCAGGAACATGACACAGGCAGTGTCCAGCTTCTCTCGGGGTGTGTGCAGGCCGGGGCTTCCCATGGCTCCTTTAAGCCCTGCTGACCTCTCCTTGTCCCATGGTGGGCAATGCCTGAAGATGCCTGGGCCAGGACACATGCCTGTGCAAGTGATAGACAGGCGCAGGACTGATGGGGCGTGCTCTCGGGGCAGCTGCTCCACACGAGGACCTGTGCTTCCTCTACCAGTGCCCCAGGCCCCTCACAAACCCCTTCCCACCTCCTCCCTGAGAAGAGTCGGTAGCTGTCGCTCTGAGGAGGAAATGCCTGTTGACAGCTGCACATTTTGCAGCAATCATTTGGAAGCAACTGAATTTTTTATTCCAAAGACAGCATGAATTGTTTCTAACTAGATTCAAATAATTGACTTTAAAATAGCTGTGAGACTACATCATGCCTTCTTGTGCAACTTCTAACATATTGTGACTTTTCATTCTTCACAAGTCTTATGACCTTCAGTCCCAATATTTTGGGAAGTGAGAAAATCGAGGAAAAAATAATTATTGCTCTGAAGAGAATCCTGAGCTATACTTGGCACACGTGAAATGTGCCAATCACATTTTGACTTTGCTCCAGCGTACCATATGGCTTCACCTGGATGCCTTCAGCAAGCACCAACCTTGGTTAAAGCTGCTGCCCACAGCCACGTGGGGTGATACCTGCCCAGTCATTTCTCCTCTCACAGTCTGCTCTGCTGGTTCCTCCAGTTTTCTGAAGCCACGGGCTCCACAAACCTGTGGGTGCTGTCTATAAGCAGGAGGAGAAGGGCTGGAGATGTGAGGAAGGGGCGTGTACTGACCACATTGACAGCTTTAACCTGGCTTCTGGAGATTCACACCTGGGTCCCCATACTTGCACAGCAAGCTCTTTTACCACTGAGTCGTCTTCTTAGCCAGCCATTTGTTTTCAAGTGTTGTTTAACACAGATGTTTCCTAACAACTTAACCAATTAAGTTCTGCAATTGCAGAAGACTCAGGGTTGACTCCCAGCACCCACATGGCAGCTCACAACCATCTGTAACTCCAATTCCAAGGGCTCTGACCCTTCTTCCAGCCTTTGCAGGCACCAGGCACTCATGCAATGCACTTATATAATGCAGGCAAAATGCTT